ATATTAATCTAGCAAATACTAATACCTCTCCACCAATCCTTATGCAATACTCTCTCCGTCCTATAAAAAGAAAATCAAATTCTAGCTAAGAATTTAGACACCCATATTTTCAAGTTTAAAACTAGGATTAGTTTTTTTTTAGCTAGAGGGTGTAATCTATTTCTACACCTTAAGAGATATTATTGCACAATAATTCTTTTTAGAGGGATTGCACAGTACTTCCTCTGTTTCACAATATAAGTCATTCTAGCATTTCTCACATTCATAGTAATGTCAATGAATGTAGACATATATATCTATCTAGATTCATTAATATCAATATGAATATGAGAAATATTAAAATGACTTACATTGTGAAACGGAGGAAGTATGTGTAACTTCAGTAAATGATGGCGTGCTAGACTTGAAGCCTTGAATGCTAATGTTCTGGAATGTTCCACGGCTCAAATAAGGCCTATGACAAAGACAAGTCGGTTCATTGAACCTGCCAGTATATTTGTCAGGCCTAGCTAAGCTAGCTTCCGGCCGGTTCAGTGGTGTGCGATCCCTGACAAGCGTGGCTGACCCGGATGCATCAGCGCCACATTTTTCTCTCTTTCTGGATGCATATGGGTTCACTTTTTTCTGTTTATATGTTTTTTTCAACTGGATCAGATGGATGAAATTAAATCCAAGTTGGATATATCTCTTGTGGTGGCCAATAACCATATGAGAAAATTTTCACATACAGAACAGACATAGATATTTTGATTCCTCACGGAAAAGGAGAATTTGGTTGTTGTTGTTAGCATCGATATTGTGCGCATTGGTATCTTTTCTAGCACAACATTAGACCCTGTTTGAGACAAAAGTTTTCAATGACTACAAAATGTGAGCCGTCCATCAGAATTCATGTAATCTCTCCGTTACACTATATTAAGTCGTTTGACTTTTTTCCTAATCAAACTTCTTAAAGTTTAATTAAGTTTATAGAAAAATACGGTAGTATACAATCAAACTTTTATATATATATATATATATATATATATATATATATATATATATATATATATATATATATATATATATATGAGTTGGATTTTTTTGCATGCGAGTTCACATGTACCCACAATCTACATCCTATATGTATCTTGCACGAATCTTAGGGCAAGTATATTAGGTTCTAACAAAATGTAACATGCATGATATTTACGTTATACTATATTTTTTACAAGTGTAAAATACCTTGTTTATATAATTTTTGTATTTCTTGTATGCAAAACTTGTTTATGTAGTTTACCTTGTTTATATAAATTATCTTGTTTATGTAGTTTTTGATGGTAGGATATATATCATTTTGGAAATATTATTTTTGCAAAATGACAATTTGGTGATATAGTAGATATATTGTTTTCTCATTTTGACTAAATATCATGTTATAAACAAAATAAGGATTAGAGAAATACAATGCACTAGATATATAAATGTCATATATGATTATTATTGAAAAATTTATTTGGTAAAAAATGCAACATACATGTTATACATATTGTGAACCAACCTAATCCTAATTATCTTTTCTCCCTATAGTAAGCATTCATTTGGTTAAGGTTAGGTACATTTTGCAGCACGAATCTTGGAACACATCAACGGTGTAGATTGTAGTTACATATGAACCCGAGTGCAAATCTGCATTTTCATATATATATATATATGTGTATATATATATATATGTATATATATATGTGTGTGTGTGTGTGTGTGTGTGTGTGTGTGTGTTGTGTGTGTGTTGTGTGTGTGTGTGTGTGTGTATATATATATATATACATATGTATATATATATATATATATGTATATATATATGTATGTATGTATGTATGTATGTATGTATGTATGTATGTATGTATGTATGTATGTATGTATGTATGTATGTATGTATGTATGTATGTATGTATGTATTATCATACTCTATTCAATGGTAGATTTAATGGAACTAATTTGATATTTCATATGGTGCTAAACTTTTTTATAAACTTGATCAAACTTAACAAAGATTGACTAGGAAAAAAGACAAACGACTTATAATATGAAACAGAAGGAGTATTCCAAATAAGCTGTTAATCTATATATAGAGAGACCAAATCGGATAAAATAGAAATGACATAAGGAAAGGTAAATCTTTATCCTATATATTGTTGGCTACATGCACCTCTATATTTTGATACTTGTTATTTCCAATCAGATCTCAATGGTTCATCAAGGTGTCCAAATGAATGGCACACAATGCATATAGCTAGACATATAGTAGCTCTAGCTATACTTTTGGTGATGAAATATGTGGAGAGAGGCCGGTGCATGAAGCTGCCCAGAGGTGTCTAGGCTTGCTCATATGAAGCACCATCACCTTGAGATCCTGGAGATGATTTGATCACTCAAGCTAGCTAGCTTTGCCCTGTTGCTATCCTGTTAATATGTGTGTGTGACCACTGGAGCAATGAGGTGACACCACTAGGTTAGATAAGCTACCCAAGCATCAATGTTGATGTGTGCATGGCTGCTTCTTTCTTAGTACCCAAGGCATAATTGCACCACAAGCTGGTAGCTAGGAAGGAACCCTAGCTTATTGGCTTAGTTGTGGCTGTAGTAGGAGTTTTGTGGTGCAGTGCAAGCTCCTAAAGGACATGACAACTGCATGCATGCATGGACCTACCACACCCAAATGAACCATTGCAAGTTGCTTACCATGCAGGGATTATACATTTGTGGTGCATAGCTTGTTACATGGACTTCTTGTCCCCATGTGCAGGATTTTAAAGGCATTGAATAAATCGACGGGTTATCAATATGCAGAATAATACTACAACTATAAATATTATAAGTTTTGATCATAATTTTAAAAGTTTAATCGAATCTTGTCATAAACATCAAATAACTATGACGGGATAATTTTTTAAAAGAAAGAAAAATGAAATCTCTGAATCGGGTATAATTAAAATACAGCTGATCATGGATGAGAATGTGCTAGCTGAATTCCTTTTGATCCAGGCCCTCACATATCTCTGGTCACCAACTTGGCTGCTCTTGTGGGGGAGTATATTTGTGTGGTTGGGGCAAGGTCCATTACCCCACAGTTGCATTGCAAACAAGCTAAGGGGTGAGAAATATCTAAGCTACATTATGCATATGTGCTTGGGGTTGTTGTAGGGTATGAACCACATGGCAAAAGGAGAATCTCCTCCCCCTTCTCCTACCAAAGATTCAAGGCTTGAGGGGTAAAAAGGAAGTTGTGTGTGTGTGTGTGTGGTTGTGCACCTTTGGGGGAGTGAAGCTAAGTGGCATGGCATATTGGGTTGCATATGCATGCATGCATGCTTGCTAGTTAGTGGCCTGCTGATCCTTAGTCCTGTGTGCTCTGTGCATCCAATGTTTGTGCATGCATATGCTTCTATCCTGGTTTCTGGTTTTGCACCTAACATGTATTCCTTACACTAATAGCCTTGCGGCTTGGAGCTGAACATATATTGCATCAAGAATTTTTCTTATTTTGGCTAATTATTCTTTTCAGTGGTAGGGATATATATATATATATATATATATATATATATATATATATCCATTATCATAAACGTAAAAAACAAGCCCACTCTCTTAGAGATGCTTACAGAAGTAAGATATGTGTATTGTATGATTTTATTATAGGGCTAAGTGTTCACACGTATATATTAGCTTGTGCGTTTATACTCTATTTCGAGAAAAGGGTTTTCTATATGTTTAAACTTTTCTTAATATGACTATAAGAATAAACCCTCTTTTGGAAACTTATGTTTACATATTCACCTTATTTCTCATTTTGATTTACTTTTATCTTACTTTTTATTACTATTAAACTTATGGTTGTGTGTCTTATGACAAAAGCCAAAAGATGTAATCCATTTCCATTATCTAAAAGAAAATGTTTACATATGAACTTTTTAGCTACCCTGTTTCTGTGGCAGGACAACGTTGTCACATTGGTACAAAAGGTGTTCTTATCTGTATTCAATACACTAGTCTAATTAAGTACACCAAATTAATTTGCAAGTAATGGTACACCAGCTAACCAACTTGAAGAGATTGTGTCACCCGGCCGTATGTACAAAACTCTAACATGTCAAAAATATAAAACACAAATTGACTAGATATCGTGCCCCAGTACGTCCATAAAAACATAAAGTTCTTTATAGCAAACACCACAGAAATGCTGGGCTTCCTTTACGAGGTTAAAAGCTCGCTTGAGACTGGAATATATAGTACGTGCCAGGGCTGATAGGACGGCTTAACTATTTTGATAACCTCTCAAAGTTCCAATGTTTCTTTATTTTTTTCTGTAAAGGAAAAAGGTGCGCAACCAAATAATAATAATAATAATAGCTTGACTACAAATAATAAAATTAATTAAAGCACCTGTGATGGAGACCAAGAGCATGACTTGGGTATATGCCAAACCGTCTTGTAAGTTAAGCCTGTTGGTTCCATATTCTTTTTTAATTGGGGACACAAATGAGCCGCTCGTTTTCTGCATATCTTAGGCTTTCCATGGCTTTGCATATCTTCAACTAGACAATATAATGTACTATCCATAAAGCAAAAATTGGATCATTACAGCCTCGTCTCTTATTTGCATGGACCATTCATCTTATCTAGTTAGTGTGTGGGGTGTGCGCTCCTTTCTTGCTTGCTTTCTCTAGGGCCAGCGTACAATTTTCATGAACCATTTCCATTGTTAGGTTCCTGTCAGAACCTTACATGGTATAGGAAAGAAAAAGTATGGAGAAAAGGAAAAAAAATACAGGGTTGTTTTCTTCCTCTTTGGTTCTGAGCTATCCAAACATATTAGCACGTTTTAAGGTAATAAAATGGCAGTGCCCAATATCTGTTAGTGAAAGGAACTGATCATAAGCCATCATATATTCAGCTATGCAACCCGTTTTGCAATTGCATACCATGAATTAGATGACAAGATCAAAAGACAATCTTCACCATAACCATTGTACCTGTAATCAAAGGCATACCCCAATAAAGAAAAACTAGAACACAAATCATAACTTCTACAACAATGCTGGTTTTAGTAATGACTTGAGCTGTAACAGGTGCAAAAATGTGTGGCTGTTACCTATCTGGTTAAGATATTATCCTGTGATATCTTGGTTGCAGGCTGAGGAGTACAACTATTCTGCCCTACCAATCTCAATCTCTCCCCTCACTCCACTCCCAAAATCAAACAGGGCAGATCTTTTTCCTGGTTGGTGAGGCTGTGGGGCAGTGATTGTTTCACTGTGACCAAACCCTAGCCTTGTGGTCACATGGGAAGCACTATGAGCAGAGAGGCTGGCTAGCTAGGTCTTGGCCATTAAGCCAAGTGGGGGCTGCAATGCAATTGCAATGCAGGGAGTGGTGGCCAGTGGTCACACCAAAGGCCTCAAATGTGGCCAGTGGTCTCGCCGTCTTTCGGTGACGGCTCCCATGTATGATTGCTTGTTTCAAGCCAGAAACAGAAACACATGTAGCTCCTTGAAGCGGGTGCAGGTAATTCCAGGCACCAAACTAGAGGCAATGTTCAGGAAAAGTCTGTCTATTATCAAGGGCCAGTATGTGCCTCTTCAGCTTCATTTCGAAACACCTCGGTTCCTGAAGCAGCAGGCTTACAGGTGCTCCCAGCCTATAAAAGAGCATTTGAACAGTAATGAGAAATTCCAGAAAAGAAAAGGGAAATCATAATATAGATATTGATGTTATCCATCGTCCCACAGAACTTCAAAAGACTAAACTCGATCTACACATTGACAAAAATTATTCTTCTGATGAGGAAATCTAAAAATAACAGTGAAATTTATCTTTTTCCTCTTTGTCCTTGTATATAAGTCATGTTTTCAGTTGAAATTTATGAGATGATGGATGATTCTCACACTAAATTTTTAAAGTTTTACCAAAATAAAATCATGACTGTTTGCATGTTCTTTCATAGGACGGGAGTGCCTGAAACTATCCCAACAGTATAACAAAATGTGACATACAGGATATTTCACGAAAATTTCCATCATGCAGTTTCTATTAATGTTGGACTCATCTGATCATTATTCCTTAATGAAGACATCTAACAGGATGAGTTTTCCTAGAGGTAACAAATTGGTTTCAGTATATTTTATTATAACAGAAGTGGCAAATTTAATGAGTTTCTTATACCTTGGAAGCAGCTCTCTTTATTGAACTGGACCTACTGGCAGAAGGTAGCTTAAGATTCTGGCTGCAGTATGCCATTTGACAAGAATCTATTATGTAACGCACATGAACATCTTCCTTTGGTATCTTCCGCAGCAACTTCTTAGTCGCCTTCTTCTTCTGGGACAACAAAAGAGCCTGATACATCCTGCAGGCACAAATGCAGTATATCTACTAAATGCCACAATAAAAGGAATTTGACAAGGTTGCAAAGCAAGCACACTGGTCAAGGTATCGAATTGCCCAACAAAAGCAAGCCAACATTGTAAAATGTACTGGATAATCAGCTTATGTGCCAATAGGAAGAATCTAACCTCAAGGAAGTCAGTACATTATGTGGAAGGCCTGCAGATTCATATTCTGTCCATATCAGCTGGGCACGATTTGAATCCTTTGCCTTTACACAAGCACTAAGAAGAAAGTCAAGGCTTGTCCGAGAAACATTAAGCCCAAGCTCTTTCACAGCATGGAGAATCTTCATTCCAAAATCCAAATTTACAGGATCCATATCCCATATTTGACTGAAGACCTTGAAAACCATTCATGAAAGTAAACAAGAGGTACCAAAACAAAGAAAGCATGGAAAAGGTATAGTTCATGGCGAAATGTCTTGAGGAACAATTCATATACACCTTTATGAGGAACAATTCGAAGGAGTTTGAACAGTAAAAAATTAATAAAAGCAATTAGATATTTGTAATCAAAATCAAGTTTGGTTTCTCATCATGTCACCCTAATTAAACTGAAATGAATTTATGAACTAGTTAACAGAATAATAAGCGAGATCATATAGCATATTTCCTAAAGATAAGACCATAACCAAGTAGTAAAAAAAACGTGGATAACATTAGAACAAACAGGATATCCAATGTACCCTTAATCAAAAGGAATTTGCCAGCCAAAAGGTATAGATTCTAGTCAAAATCAGTGCCCCCCCCCCCCCCAAAAAAAAAAAAAAAGGAAATCAAATGTTCATGTGCTATCCTATCCAAGAATAACAATCAATACCTGATCAATAACCATATATGTACTCAATTCATCTTTCTCCTTAAGCTGCTTAAGCAAACCAATGGCAGCACTGGAAAAGATGATGAAAATAAAGAGTGAATGAAAAATAAAAAGTAAACAGAAGTATAAATACAAGTGCTTAAATATCGATTAGCATACTTAGGGTGATTGTGCTGAACACAGTACAGAAGTACTCTACTGCACCCGTCAAACCACATGTTTGAGTCACCAAGCTCTTCCAGAAGTTGATACAGTCTATCCAGCTCACCTTTTGTTTGGGTATTCTCCTGCAGAAAAAAAAATACTATTAAGGATGGAGACTAGAACAAGTGGTTCTCAAACGTGTAGGCACAACCCATTTCTTCATTAGAAGTAAACATACGTAACAGTTTTACTTACAATCAGGGCTATTGCTGATTTTGGCTCAAGGTGGCATCCAGATTGCTTGATTTCATCATACATGATAAGTCCATCTAATACCTTCCCATTTGATGCAAGAGCTCCTATAAGCGCACTCTTAATTTCATTGAGGTACTTAGGTGGTATTTCCTTGTTTTCGAGAACCTAAGAAAGCAGCAAAGGTTTTCAGTAGCAAAATAGAACAAGTACAACATTAGCATCTTCGTAGTAATAATAATAGCCATTAACTTATGTAATCTAATTCAGAAAACACGAGTACATGTGTGAGATCTGGCACCTGAAGGTGCAGCAAAATTCAAAGAGAATTATGATCGGCAAGCACATTACCTGTTTAGCCATGTCAAAATTCCCAAGTCTTGCATATGCACTAACTAGTGACATATATATATGCTTGGACATGTGTATTCCATCTTGCCGTAATTGATCAAGATACTGTAAACAATTCAACAGCCAGTGCTTATCCCAACAGAAACTATAAATTGAAAGGGGTTTAAAACATGAAATTCTAATGTCAGTGTAAACTATGGTAAAGAATCATGCCAATTGTTCAATAGTATATGGCGTTTTAGACATTGGCAAACCCTCCAATATGCAACTTCAAAAATTACTTTAAATAAGTGTATTAGTAAAAAAAAATTAAGATTTATATGACAACTCTAATTGCACCATTTCTGAAATTCCACATGACCAATCTAAATATTTTTTTACACAATGATGGTCAAAGATAAAGAAGTTTGACTACGCGTCTTTTAAAATGTCAGATAATTCCTCCATTTTCCTTTACTTGTCACAGTTGACCATAATTTTGTGTCTGAGAATACTTGGCACTATACATTTGTCACAGTGGCATTCCCTATTTTGTCCTTTGAGGACCAATCATAAATTTAACAATATGACATTGATACAAGTAATCAGAAATATCTAGAGTGTTCTTTCAAAGTTTCGATTATACATAACGAAAACATATTCCACTCACCTAGGAGCTTTGGTTATTTTAGGAGATAAAAGTTGATTGCATTGATATGTGTACCATAGTCAACAATGAGACAATTAAACAGAAAAGGAGGGAGCATTTCCGAACAGAGTAGGCATGTTAGTATGTAATGGAAGATGCGACATGCTGCATGATGATATATCCAACAGAATTTAACAATGCAAATAGAATTAATTACTTGGGGATATAATTTCACTAGGTGTTCTTTCAAGAACATATACAGTTGCCTCTCTATTTGAAACACACACAAAAATGGTAATAATAAACAATCAGGTATGTGACAAACCTCAGAGATTTTCTCTTCGAACTCACAGTTAAATATCAAATAACAGTATGTTTCAGAATCTGGTTTTACTCCGGCAATCTGCATTTGCGCCATGACCATCTGTGCTCCATTGTGGTTTTTCTATATAGAAACATAGCGAATTTAAAGGGAGAAAGGCACTAAGGCACAAACAATCTGGAATAATAGTCTTTAAATCTTACTACAGTATGTAAATATGGTCTTTTGCTAATAATAAAAAAATCATAACTACTGGGTAAGTCCAGCAGTGTTTCCCCTCAAAAAAAATTTTGAAATTTCATGCCGTTTTCATACTGAATAGTTACAGTGGTTGCTTATTCGAAACTGTTGCGCATTTGTACTTGAGGGAAGAGGTTTGGAAAATCTCAACAAAAAAAAACAAGCATGTGTCATCTCTTATGTGTTTATGCATTTCTACTGACCAGGCATGATGTAAAATCGAGTCAGCTAAAGTTGAGCAAGTATGCTGACAATAGTTAATAGGAGATCCATCATTTTTTGAATAATTAAAATGGACATATGGATTGTATGGTAACTGAGGAAAACAAATCAAAAGAACAACAGATAACCCGAGAGTTTACCTCTCTGAAATATCCAAGCATGATAGCATTATACAGGCTTACAGTGGATATATCCCCAGACTCTTCTGCATCTGTGAGTATACGGTAAGCACCTTCAAACTGGGGAGAAAAAGGATCAGTAAATTTCATATGATGCCTAAACATAGCAGGTGACCTGCATAATGACTTACATCTTTCATCTTTACACATAAATTTATCATGTTTCTGAATGTTTCGGTTTTCAATTTCATCTTGTGGCGACGCATCAAATCATATATTGGATGAACCTGAAAAGGTTAGAGTGAATACAGATGCTTAGCATTGTTCCCAATAAGACATATCACATGAGAACATGTATAGTTAATTTTTAAAATAGATGCTACCTGTGAGACCAGCAACAGTAGTTCATATATCTTATGACTTATGATGCGTGGCAGAGACTTCCTCACAATCAATTTTATGCTTTAACAACTCAAACAAATGTAAATAACAGCTTATTAAGATCACTAGTTAGTTATTACATTACAACAATGTTAACGATTGTACTAGTGCTTTAATAGGTTGGGATGTGTTCATACTAGAAAAGGTCATGTTCTACAAGATGCTTATGTTGTTACTAAAAACATATGCAGTCATGCACAAAACCATACAAAGCACTTAAATGTTGCAAATTCTTATAACCTATAATACCCCCTAATAATTAATATAAAATGAACACACATCTGCACTGCAAGCCACAACTAAATATAGTCATATAGAACTGCTTACCAAGTGAAATTCAGAGCCTTGTTCACAGGCCTGTATTATTGGATGAAACAATTCAACTGGCATATCGGGGTTGGATTTACATAAGCACTCAGCTACATCAAGAGCTAAGCTGATCTGCATAAAACATTAGGGAACACAGCGCGGTTATAATATTGATTTGAGTGGCCCAGATTGATAAATCCAAACACTTCACATTGAAACTAAGATTGTTGTACCAAAATATGTGTATCACATACAATATTGAGGCCTATTTGGTTTGTAAAAAACTTTGCTATAACTAATTTTGGGCAACAAAATTCACAGCCATGGCTGTAGAAAAAGTTAAGTGACAATCTGAGTCTATGGCATGCATATGGCAAAGTTCAATCACAGAAATGAGCAAGATATTTGCCTAACAAACTGTACCACGCCTAAGGTTTCATAGCAAGGTTACTAGGTTAGGCTTCAAACTAAACTCCAAGCTCTTTGCTACACTTCAGTGGTGGCTACCCAAATGGTGGCCACAAGTTCAGCACACATCAGCCAATATCCATTAATAAACCATTCCAAGTGACCACACATTTCCACTGCATCCAAATTTAAATAAGCATTTCTTCCCAACACCTAGGTGGTGGTAGAAGAATTTTAAATAAAAAAAACTACCGGTGGACTGATAGCTACTTGAAATAATAGACCAGATAGGTATGTTAGGCTGTTAGGCATGACATGGACTCTTTAAACGTAAAGCCGGTTAAGTACCCAGGCCAGCAGAAACCAAACAACACAAAGCAAAAGGTATGTATGGACATGGCATACATAAAAAAGATCATATATTGTTTGGGGACCAAATTTCTAAAAACATGTATTGAATTACTTAACCATTTTTTTTAAAAAAAAAGTACCGGTGGATTTGACTTACCTTTGACGATTTGCAACAAACAGAGATGATCTTCTCAGATGCAGAAATAGAGGGTGCTACCTCAAACTGCTCATGCCATCTATTGAATGATACTATAACATCTTCAACCTTCAAGAAAATCCATTTCCAGTGTTCTTATCATTCTGTTTAGCTAAAAGGGCGCTGTTAACATGATAACTAACTGCACTGGTTCAGATAGTTATATTTTTTAAATAATGTCATTCTTAGATTGAACACCACAGTTTTTGTAAGCAAGTCACGAAAACTAAGATACCCCCTCCATCCAAAAGTCTAAGACCTATTTCTTTTTGCACCAAGACCAATGAGTAATTAATTCATTCATCATGTGACAAAATCAATGAACATGCAACCAATAAGTACTAAAATGGCTTCTTGGGCTCCGCTCAAAAATTTAATATAGCACATAGTGACTACAAATATGACTTAGACTTTTGGAAAAGCCAAAGAATGGAATAGGTCTTAGACTTTTGGATGGAGGGAGTAGTATATCAGCAAATAAACCTTTCCATCCACTTGGGATCAAATAAAATGTGGTCATATTAGCAATTTGATGAAACATGATTTATCTTTCGATGTACGAATAAAAAAAAATGGATTGTCTATTCTTTTGAATCACACAGAAATAAATTTATAAATTTTCTATGCTAGTTTAGCCCAAAGCACCATGTTTTTTAGCCACACAATGTGCATTATGGAAATGCAGAATACTTCTTTCGCACAGAATAAAAATATAATAGCAAAATTGGGTGTGCTCTCTAAAGTACTGTATTACATATTCCTTTTTTTTTTAACATCTTGCTATAAGACCATTTTTGCACAGGATTGAAGAACGCTACACGTAAAGTCCACTCCAAGTTCATACTATAATTAGCGGCTACGAATATTACCAGTAGTCATCGTAAAAGATTCCTCACCGCTATGTTTGGTATATTTGAAGCATACTCAAATATTATCGATGAAAATTTTCCAACACCAGATTCTGAAACAGAAACATTAGCAGGTAAGAAACGTAACAGAGGGAAATCTGATGGGGTAACTGAATAACATTAGAATAGAAATATTTGTGGCCAATATTCATCATATGTCCATCTTATTTCCAGCAAATGGATATTTAAATTTTTTGGCAAAACGACAGAGTTATTACCTTTCGACCTCATCTGCTGAAGAAGCTTCTCAGCATAGTTCTTCAATTCTAACCTACCCAAAGACTGGAATATGGTCAATAAGTACTTTGAGCGTAAAATTCTTGTTGGATCAAGTGACTCAAGCAAGCTGATGAAATCCAGCCTCCTGTCGCTTTCAGCAAAGGCCAGCATATAACTTTCTGTAAAGCAGTATCTTGAATAAGGTACAGTTGGAAGAATGTTCTGTGTGTCGAATAAATTGTGCAACATTAAACAGCGCTTTTCCCATTTGTGAATGAGTGACAAAGGAAGATTGGTTGTGATTTTGGTTAGTTACCTGCCATATCATAGTCACCTTCTTCATTGAAGTCTTCAACAGAGCGGCAAAGTTCTTGAATCTTTTCTTCATCTTGAGCTCTAATCCATAACAACATCTCGTAATAAGCTATTCTCGAGCTGGACCGTGGATTTGCATCCTTAAAGAACACACTGAACATATCAAACTCCTCTGACATCCCTACATCCACCAGATACAGAAGGAATGGTCCATAACAATCTTCCACAATCTGATAACCCCTTTCTCTCATCAGCTCAAAGAGGCGATATGCCCTATAAATATGCTCCACTGCTGAGTCAATATCCATGCATTCCTTTGCCTTGCCCAAACAAATCCTGATCAAAGCATTAAACTCCTTAGCCCCAGTATCCCTCCCCAGCTTCCCAAAGAATTCAAGCGCGGGCTCTGCTCCAAGCTTATCGGCACACTTCTGCATCAACCTGGTGAAGCGGCGGCTCTCTGTGTTCTTGAATATGTACCGTTTCTTCTTCTCCCTTGCCACCTCCTTCCGCCAGGCCGCCAGTGGGTTGCTAGGTGGTGGCGCCGCAAACCACTCCGTGTCCAGTATCCTGTTCACGACAGACTCTTCGGCATCTTCAGACTCCTCCGGTGGCGCTTGCGCCCCCCTCAATTCTTCTGCATCATCAGGTCCTAAACATTGAACAAGTATATCACGATTACACCATTAGTTTCCACTTTGGCCATCGCAAAATGACCATGAGATAGTGTCAGACTGAAGTTTGATGATACCATTTAAGATGGACAGGATCTCCTTGGTGAAACCGCCGGAAGGGTTCTCGTCCTCCACAGCGGCTACATCTGAGCAACACAATCGACAGGAGTAAGCGAGAAGCGAATGGGGGAAGCGGAGGAGAGCAGTGGTGCCGGTTACCTTGGGCGTCGGGGAGGGTGGAGGGCAGGTTGGTCCTCTTCGAGGAGGCGGCCTGCTTGAGGCGGAGGAGGGCGGCGGGGGAGACCGCGGTGGCCGGCGTGACGGCCTTGCGGCGGCTGGAGGAAGGGTTTTTCCGCGTGGCGAGCTGCGGGCCAGTTGCGGCGGTAGCGGTAGCGGCGGCGGCGGCCTTCTTCGTCGTCTCCAGAACTCTCTTCCACATCGGCGGCGGCGCGCGCGGGGGCGGCGGTCGGAGCAGCCGCCGGCGGCGGCGGGGAGCAGTGGTGTGGTCCGCGCCGCCGCGGCGAAACGAAGGAGGGGATTGCGGTTCGGTGTCGTGGGCTGGGCCGCACCCGAGAAACGGCCCGAAAATAGCGCGAGGCGAAGCACCAGGAACTTGTTTGTAAAAACAAAAAAACGAAGGGGCGCAAAAGAAATTACGTGAACAGTAACAATAAAATTGTCGATGCATTAAATTTAGGGACCACCTATACATTTATCGACAATTTTTCTCCTAAAAATTTGACAGATGTAATTATAGTACAATCGTAGTGTAATTATACGGTAACTTGCATGTAACTACAATGTAACTTGTATGTAAGTTTCACATAATTTTGAATCGTTAGATCTATTACAATATTTGTTCTGGTGAGGAAAAAAATCACAGCACACACATGTGAAATGATTTGTTCCCACGACCTCCATTTTACCGAAATAACATGTTACGGAGAGATTTTTAAAAATTACATACAAGTTACATTATAGTTACAGTGTAATTACATGTAAGTTACAATGTAATTACACTACGATTATACTGTAATTACATCTGTTAAATTTTTAGGATAAAATTTATTGACAAATATATAGAAAAATTGTTAAATTTATTATTTCTCTTATAATTATAATTAAGCATAACTAGTGGCAAGGTAAATTGCAAACTTAAAAGTGATAAGGGAAAAAACTTAATAGGTGCGTACAATTAGATGTAAAAGTAAAAGCTCAAAAATTGAACGTAACATTCCAATATCTTGACTAGGTGAATGCAACTGTGGTTCAAAAGAATTTTTTGCCACACCATTGACCAACCTAGAAGAAAATGCCACATCAGCTATGTCCCCTTTCACACATAGTGTTAATTTTACAAAATCATCCAGCTCTCATTCTTACTAGCTTGGAATTTTTTTTTCCTCCTTTGGGATGAATCAATAGGTGCGGTGGATTTCTCACAAATCAAAGATGACACGACCATAACTACCGTCAGAACTTGGGACTCGAACGTCGATGGATCCTTATAAGGACGGGCGATTGGGGGTCACACCTGTTGTTAGTACTCAAAGTGAGTGGCGGCGTGACTTGAATCCGATGTAGCACCTCGTGGCAGCGACCGACCTCTTCCGTGGCTCTGTGCCGACGGGAGAAAAACCTTAAAATCGCTCGGCGGTGTAGGTTCCCTAGTTTGATACTAGCATTTGTTAGTACAACTACTTGCATGACGTGGGTTGGAAGGGGCAGAATCGGATCGATGGCGGCGACAACCTTCGTTAGGGGGCTTGGCGGCGGGGGTGGCAGCGTGGACGAGGAACGAGAAGGGAGCGATAGACTTGCGGCAGCTTGGAGCGCTGGGGGTGTTGAGTAGGAAGTAAGTGAGAGAAGTTGTTTTGGAGAGAACAAGAGAAGTGGGCGGAGGAACAACAACGAACACACGCGGAATAATGCGATGGAGCGCTATCCAAAGGACTCTAAACCATTAATTGTGTGGAAGGATCCATGGATGGACTTCAAACCTTCGATCGTTTAGGACCCACCACCATCACTACAATTTTTTTAAGTAGTATAATGAATTGATGATAAATATAATATTGAATATATTTTGATAATATGTTTGTTAATTTTATGTTTGAGATATTGTGGTATTTTTCTATAAACTTAGTCAAATTTAAAAAGTTTTAATAACTAGGAAAAAAAGTCAAAAATAACTTAATACCTCTCTATATAAAACAGAGGAAATAGTTAGACTAGGAAGTACTGATCATAGTATCAGTAGCTAGTAACGACGTGTTTGTACTCAACAGAACTGTAGATAGGGCTCGCCGTCCGGCGGGAGGTCCGGCGTGCAAGATTCCACCCTGACGAGGCTCTCCCGGTAGGCATGAAACCAACAATTGGTGTGCCCGAAATGTCCACAGTGTCTCGGAACAATAGTGCGACGGTGCGACCCACCACCCTCCTGTCCTTGTTGGTGTCGTCGTACAGCAACTTCCAAGCCCAGGTCACCACCACCATCTGCACGCCGCCGCCGCCGGACTCGAACGTCGCGACGGCGTTCTTCCAGCTGCCCTTGCTCCAGTAGGCGAGTGGCGCGGGCGGCGGAGGCATCTCCACCCGCAGCCGCCGCACCCACCTCTCATCCTCGTCCAAGGCCCAGACGTCGAGGTGCAGCTCGGTCATCGTCCACACGGCCGGCGTGCCGTGCATGTCGATCATGTCGACCAGTTCGTCCTCGGCGAGGCTCACCGGAGGCGGCGGCAGCAGGCGGAACGCCTCCGACACCGTGTCGAACGACGATATCTGTGGCTTGCCGTTCTGCAGGTAACGGGGGCGGCACCAGTACACGGTGTCGCCGATGGTCTCGCCGACGAACATGGTGCAGCGGTGGTAGTCAGGGCCGCCGCCGAGCTGCCGTGGCTCGGCGGCGCCGGTGGAGAGGATGTAGGTGGTATTATCTAGGAGTGGGCGGTGGCACAGCACGCGGTACTCGCCGGACGGCCGGTGGAAGTAGAAGCCCAGTGTCCGCAGCTCGTTATCCTTTGGCCGCGACGACGGCTCAGGGCTCACCGGATTGACGAGCTGCCGCGTCGCCGGGTTGCAGATGAGCATGCCCCCCTTCTGCACTCTTCTGAACATCAGGAGGCCGTCGCAGGTAGTCACCAGGCTCAAGCAGAATCTGCCGCGTTGAAGCAAACGCCGGCAGCCGGCGATGTCGCCGCCGTCGTCGATGCGTGGAACAGCCGTGGCTGGGAGGGAGGTCAAGGTGTAGACGGAGGTAAAGTGATCGCTGGGGTCCGTGTGGCCGAGGAGCTGAAGCGGGCGGCGGCGGGAGTAGGCGGTGATGAAGTAGTGGGCGGTGGTGATGCGGCGCCAGGTCCGGCAGACGGCGCGGGAGCGGAGGACGGCCTTCGCCGGCAACCGCAGGAGGATCTCGCTCACCACGTCGTCGTTCATCGCGGCGCGAGCTAGGCGATCGTTCGGCTTAGGTTTGCCCCGGTTGCTACATATATACATGGTGTACGTTAAAATACTGATTCATATGTCACCTAGTGCCGATCAAATTTGTATGTCGAGTTTGACATGGTGTGAGCGAATAATCCGCTTCGAATTAGGGGCTTCTTTAATTTCGATGGGATTTCAAACTGTCCTGTATTTACTATATATGTTAGAGTTTGGGAAGTGGAATTTTGTCCCTCGAGTCGATGGGACATCCCCTTATTTTATACATGTCATTCAAAAAGTTATAAAAAACATTATCAAGATAGATCAATATATGATATTTCTTTTTCAAACATGCGAGTTAAAATTTGATTTATATAATTTGAAACAAAAATAATAAGATTGACCGCTTGTCGACGTTTGATGTCGTGATTCCGGTATTTGCATAGAATAGGGATCATTAGTACTAGGATATATGTGAGATTGTAATAAAAGAGATGGGGACGAGGATTTTTATACAGGTCCGAGCCCCTGAATTGTCAAGTAATAATCCTATTTCTGTTGGCCAAAGCCGGTCGTTACTCTTATTCACCATAATCACACCAGTACAATATTTGAGGTAGCCTATTTAACTGTGGTCGACTTGGCGGTCTGAAGTGCTGACTCGTAGTTGACAACAAGGTAGACGGGGTCGACGAGAGCGAGCAGGCGGCGAGAGCGAGCGATGGCAAGCGACGAGGCCGGAGCTGAGGCGACAGGTGGGAGGGCAGGCGAGGGCTGGAGCTGCACCTGCGCTGGGCGGCGAAGGAAGCGGCGGAGACGGGGTCGACGAGACCGGTGCCGACGCCATCTCGCCCCCGCTCTCATCCTCCTCTGCTCCACTGATTCGTAGCGGCGGCGCGCAATGAGGATGGAGGGACCAACGCAGAGGCGGGAATAGGGAGTCGGATGATGACCGACGATTCTCCTCAAGCTCAACCTCGTTTGCGTGTCCCCGTCGTTGCTGAGCCGGAGAGGCCGGATCCACGAGCGCAACGTTGGAGTAGTCGCTGCGATCATCCATGGACACTCGCCTCCGCTTCTCTGTCGCCTCTCTACTCCTGCTCATCTTGCTCAGCTCCAACTGCTGCTGCGCAAGTGCGATGCGGGTGGGCAATGCGAAAAGCAATAGACACGATCGCCATGCCCGTCGACCCATTCACGCACGTACGCTGTCTATAGCTTCTTGCTCTTGTATTTGTTCCTCTTGGTGATGGATCTCCCATGTTGTTGCTGATACTCGTGGATTGGATTGGTTGCAGGGCACCGGCCGAGCTCCTCTTCAACAGCTACTCATCAGCGCCTCATCGCGAGGATGGATCGGATGCGGGTGCGGGTGCGGGCGGTGGCGGGCTCTAGGTCGTCGGAGAGAGAGGCCGCAACCCCGGCCGCCGCGACTTGTTCCGCTGCACCCCGATGCCACCGGCCGCCGCCGCTGCCAACGAAGAAAGAGAGAATATAGGAGGGGAATCACTAACAGGTGGGCCCCACTTTATTTTTTTAATTTATTTGATGACTATGATGCCACGTAGACGCCATGTCAGCGAAACCGTCCTCCAAAACCGTCAAGGGAGTTAAATTGCACCGGTTTTAAGAGTTTGGGATCGAGATATCCGGTTTTGTGGTTTAGGGTCACGGATTAAATTTCGATCACTTTTGAGGGTTACAAAGTGAACCTATTCCTTCTATTTTTAGCGGATCAAAGAATAGTTGATTCTATAGATGGCCATATGGCCCGAGGCCCACGGCCCGGCACGAAGCCCGCAATTTTGGCCCGGCCCAAGCACAGCCCGGCCCGACTAGGGTCGTGCCCGTGCCGGCCCGGCCCGACAGCCGGGCCGTGCCTGGGCTGCACCCTCGGCACGGTGGGCCGGCCCGGCACGGCCCGATCAAATAAAAAAATACAGGGACGAAAAATAGACTTATATAATCGTATAAGGCATGGCCCAAGACAATAGGTATACAAAATAGACTTACTATCCAGCCATTTAAACACAGCCCACAAAGTTGAGGAACCAAAAATAGACTTATTTCCAGCCATTTAAACACAGCCACAGAGTTGAGGGACCAAATATAGACTTTTTCTGTGAGGCAGCACAATAGCCCATCATACCTTCTGGCCGGCCCGGCACGGCCCGAGTGGTATTGGGCCGTGCCTGGGCCGTGTATGCCGCCCGTGGGCTGGCACGGCACGGCCCGGTGCGTCGGTCGAGCCGTGCCGGCCCGACAAGCCTCGGCCCAGGCACGGCCGGGCTTGGGCCGTGCCGTGCCAGGCGGCCCAGATGGCCATCTATAGTTGATTCAAGTGTGGTTATCTAAAGCTACACGTGGCCTTCACTCAGCTACACTAACTTCTCTATCCAATCTAGTCGTCATTTAGAACTGGAGAAACACCTTCACTCAGCTAGTCAGCTGCACCAGCTCCATCCAACTATCCAATCTAGTCGCCATCTAGAACTAGCAACAGTCCTCTCAGCCTTCACTCAGCTACATCAGCTTCATCCAACTGCATCGAAGAAAATACACCAGCTCCATCCAACTATATATCCAATCTAGTCGCCATCTAGAACTAGCAGTAACACTCCTATTAGCCTTCACTCAGCTACATCAGCTCCATCCAACTGCATCGAAGAAAAGGAGAAGTGTTAATGACTACCATTGTGATGACAAATCTATATATTTTTTCTATATATTTGTACCCACTAACTCGTAAAGTTCAACATGTAAGTGTGCCACATCATCATCCACTAGCAATTATTATCTCGAATATTTTACATCTCATGCAAATATGACATATCATTTGTAATTTTGTTGTATTTTTAGAAGTTAACATGCAAGCAATGTCAAATCACCATCTACACATCATTTTTATATTATCTAAATATATACATATATTATTTTTATAACATATAACATGCATTCTTCCATATAAAGTGTGCCATGTTTAGTGACAAATATAAGTAAGGGGGTCACCTTACAAAGCCTCAGCTTGCCTTCTTGGATGACTGCTAATTGGCCTGGCGTTGTTCTACTCCATTGAGCATAAAGACATCTTGCAGCGGTTGCCTCGCTAATTACCTGTAAACGGACTGACTATTAATCGTGCAATCCAACAGTTGTGTTTGCAACACTAAGTAGGTACTCCTAAAGATAATGGATTCGGGAGAACCTTGTTAGTTTTCTTGTTCCAGACCAAAATCTTGTTGTTCTTGGTACACGCAAGCAGTAAGTTGGGATTGTGTGGGCACCAAGACATAGCAACGATACCTAGCACATATAGTAACATGATGTTACAATCCACTACTACATACACTAGCGAGTCAAATTAAGAGACTACCAGCAAAGATTGTAACATGATGGTACAGCATAAATAAAACCGAGTAACACGGACTACCTTCTGAGTTACTGAAGGGGATTTCACCAGCAGGATTATGATCCGTGTTTCCCATGTTCAAAATCTGAAACAGATTAAATTATCCAGTTAAATTAATTATACTTGCTCAAGTTTAGTTAACAAGTTGATGTTCCTGTCTTTCCAAGCATATTCATATGCAACGGAAAAAAACAGAAAATTACCTTTACAGACGGTGAATCTTCCCGTGCAACCAGCAACTTTTCTGAATCAGGATCAGGACAAAAGATCACAGTTGATCCGCTCTTAGTTTTGCAATCAAGAGTGGTACTGTAAAAATCTCAATACATTCATTAGTGAGCAACACAATTAGAGAAAGGTGAAATATTAAAAAAAAAGGTAGTTACCATCCAATGATGGTTTTTGCTCTGGTATCATGGAAACCTGCATTTTAATATAAAAAATAAAATAATGATTAAATTTCTAAAAAAATACAAAAAGAAAATTTAGTCATGTAAGAAGAACTTACATATTCTTCCACAAGTGGTTGTAGATGCTATGACATGAACTTTATAGGAGTTCCAGCAGAGGCAAGATATTTCTTCATCAGGAGAATCACATAACTGACAAAAAAAAAAGAGCAAACAATAAACATGTTACCATCTACTCCTCCTAAATAGGCTATATATTGTAAATAGGTGTGTTTTTTTTCTAGTGAAGATGAAGTTAGAGCAAGCAAACCAAGTATTGATATCTGATGGCATATTGATATCGTGAAAAAAAAAGGTCACTTAGCACTCGTTAACCAAAACAACACATACTTAGCTAAATTGTTGCACCAAAGTACTAAACTATCAATTTTTTGTACTAAAACACACTCACTTGTCAAATTGTTATACTCGGATGTTTACATGTAGTATGTTGTACCCACCTACCAAGTTTTTTTTTATCGTTGATGCAATTTACTCGAACTTAAAAATAGATGTATTTGATATTAAGGAACTTTTATGTAGAACGTTTTCGCACGAAACGTACTCCCTAACTAACTTGTGGCTATGAATCTGGACGTGGCTGGATGTTGGTTTTTTTTATGGGATAGAGGAAATATCATATAGCAGTTTGAAAAGCGTGCTAATGAAAATTGAGGTATATTCTACATCTTAATTAGAAAAAAAGAAACAACACACAACTGTATATCGGAGGGTCAATGACATTTACCTGAACAGGGATTGTCTCAGCCAAAGGATGGGCAAGGTCATACAGCATAATCCGCCCATCAGCAGCACCCGAAGCCAGCAGATTCGGTGCATTGGGGTTGAACGACAGGCCTCTAACCTGTACAAAACAAAACAACACTGCTCAAATATTTGATCACACAGTTTGCAGTTTGTTCGGTTCAGGCATGGTTAAATTTTCAATCAAAAAGGAAAAAGCAGAGCACATCTGAAATCTTTGATCACACTATTTGCAGTTTGTTCAGTTCAGGCATGGTTGAAATTTCAATCAAAAAGGAAAAAAAAGGCAGGCACATCTGAAATCTGTGATCACACAATTTGCTGTTTGTTCAGTTCAAGCATTTTTTTTTATTTTTTTGAGAAAGAGAGCAAGAGCTCTCCCATCTCATTACTGAAATGAGCTAGAGCAGCAAAAGGTAGGAAAAAAAACATGACATCACTCGGACAGACACTACTACAAACCAACTTGTCTTGAACTACTGGATCAAACACAAAATAATGCAGGAAACTGACGATAACAGCCAACATCTTCTTGCCCCTCTTTTGCAAGGGATTTCTTGTGTGACAAGTTCAGCCAAATCCCCAACCTCTTAGTTCAGTTCAGTTCAGTTCAAGCATGGTTGAAAGTTGAATCAAACAGGAAAAACGCAGAGCAGTAGCAGAGTAAAAAAGCCTACGCCTGAAACGTGCATGCCGCCGAGAAACGATGAATGCACCATCCGAGAACCAGTTCCATATCTCCACTTTCTGTACTAGAACCCAAAGCACACCAGATCGATCGATCCCCTCCCAAACCCCCCACAGCAAAATTAACCACTAGCCAGCCGATCAGACAAACATCACTACGCTCATTTCGATCAACCCGAAACCACGAGCTAGCTGGGGAAATTAAATCCCCAAATCGATCGATCTGCGCTTCAGACATGAAAGGCACAGGAAGAATGTAACACAAACCAATTCGAATAGGAGTGGAACTCGTACCTTTCCAGTATGTTTGGCAAACAAAGCAACAACGCCAGAGCTGCTGGTGCGACACATAATGTCGTCTTGGTATTCCACCATCAAATTTCCAGACATTTCCTGATAAGTGGGGGACACTTGGAGATGTAGAGCCCTGGAGTTTCCATCAACTTGAACTTGGTCGAGGTAGTCCTCGATGACCTCGAAGTCCTTGCGAATCCAAGTTTGAACGCCATCTGGGTGGGGCTTGAGGATCTCCTCGTCAGGTAGATAAGAAGGTAGTTTCCTGCGAAAATCGAACCAAAATTAGTGCAAACGGGAGGTAGAACAGAAGCAAAACGACGCGGCGCACGGCGATAAACAAGCCGAAGCGGGCGCCGGCGAGAACGAGAAGGAAACTTAGGCGCGTGCGCGGCGAGAACGAGCAAATTAAGGCAAGCGCGCGCGCGCGCGCGCGACGAGAACGAGAACGAAACGAGGAGGTGTGTTCGCAGCGAGAACGAGCCGAAAAGCGAGCGCGCGGCGGCGGCGGCGAGAACGAGCTGGACGCGTGCCCGCCGCGGCCGCGAGAACAGAACAGCGTGCGCGCGGCGAGAGCGGGAGAGAACGAAACCTTGGCGCATGCGCGGCGAGAACGCGCCAAAGGCATGCGCGCGCGCCGCGCGAGAACGAAGACGAAACGAGGAGGCGCGTGAGCGGCGAGAACGAAGCTGAGATGCGACGCGGCGTGCCCGCGGCGGCGCGGCGAGAGCAGAAACGAGACGAAGGCGCGCGCGGCGAGAACGAAGACGAAACGAGGAGGCGCCGTGCGCGGCGAGAACGAAACTGAGATGCGACGCGGCGTGCCCGCGGCGGCGCGGCGAGAAGGAGAACAGAGGCTTGGGGCGGCGCGGGACTCACCGGAGCTTCAGGTCCGGGTTCCACATGGCGACCATGCCGTTCTCGAGGCCGCCCGCAATGAGACCAGCCTGGCACGAGAAGTCGTTGGACGCAGATGGCTTCGCTCAGTCGATGCTGCAGAATCCCTCCGGCGACGGGAACGAGGCCACCATCTCCAGCATCTTCTCGCCTGGGCTTGTACGGAATATACTCATCGGCGTACGCGGCGAGATGCCGTTGTCCTGAACTACGCCGCCGGCGAGGAGCGGGACATCGCCGGCGAAGGCTATGACGGAGGTGGGTATTGCCTTGGACTTGAGGAGGAAGACAGCCATGGCGGTGGCGGGCGTGATGGATTGCGTGTGCGAGTCGCTTTCTCGGTCTTATTTTATAGCTGTGTGAGCCGAGCCGCTCGGAAGGACATCGTATACCGTCGGATCCCCAGGGAGTCCACGTGTCATCCATCCAAAGCGTTTCCTTGGGCTTAGATGAGCCGGTGCAAAATGGAATCGTTTGGTTGCCTGTATCACGTGATGACTGGAATACTAGTAGATGCAATGAGAATATGTTTTGGTACGGAGTATATGGTTTGAGCAGGTTAGGACATGAACTTCAAAATCAGTTGTTATTGCCTATTACTACTTCTCAACAATTTTCTTCTGGTGGTAATTATTCAAACGCTCTAAAGAATTTTTGTCAAGTTAAATTGCTATCCACTACAACTGATTCTGGAAAAGGGACAAGAATCAATACGTGGTATAAATTTGTAGGGTTAATTAGATACATGCCATTATAAATTTAACGGATTTGAAATATGCCATTACAATTTGTGTGGATTTGAAATATACCATTACAATTTATGTATTTATAACAATGCCTTTACAACTTTTATATAGTTTGAAACATGCCGCTAGTATACATATTTTACCCATATTGGACAAAAATGCCCCCGTCTTCAACCTCTCGTCGTTCATCATCGTTGCCACCTCATTGCCTCGCAGGCTTCGGGCTTCCCTACTCCGGCCCCCGTCGTCGCTCCGGGAGGACCCGCTCCACGTGGTTGCAACCACCGCCGCCGCAGCCGGAATCTGGAGGCCGTCGGCTTGCCCTCTCTGTCGCTTGCTGCTACCTCCACCGCCGCCGGAATCTGGAGGCCGCCGGCTCGCCCGATGTCATCGTCCCCACCTTGCCGCCGCCGGATTTGCTCGCCGGGTGAAGCTCGTGCCTTCCACCGCCGTGAACCGCCTTCGCTGACCTCGTCGCCGTCTTATCTGCTCCGCGCAAAGCTCGTGCCAGCCGCCACCGCGAGCCGCCTTCGCTGGTCTCGCCGCCGCCTTATCTCCTCGCGAGCTCGTGTCGCTACCTCGCAGGAGGCCGCCGACGGCGTGAGGTGGAGGGAGACAAGGACGTCGTGGGTGAAAGAGCGCCGGAGAGGGAGGAGACAGCGACTGCGATGTCCATCACCGGCCGCACTTGCCACTGCTATAGATGGCCATGTGGGCCGCCTGGCACGGCACGGCCCAGGCCCGGCCGTGCCTGGGCCGAGGCTTGTCGGGCCGGCACGGCCCGACCGACGCACCGGGCCGTACCATGCCAGCCCACGTGCCGCACTCACGGCCCAGGCACGGCCCAACACGCCTCGGGCCGTGCCGGGCTGGCCCGAAGGCACGACGGCCCATCGTGCTTTTCCTCAGAATAAGTCTAATTTTCCTCCCTCCTATTGGGCTGTGACATATATAGCTAAAAAAGTATATTTTACCTCCCTCTTCTTTGGGCTGTGATATATAAATAGCTAAATAAGTCTATTTAAGATCCCTATTCTTTGGACAATGACATTTATATGTCTATTTTTAGTCCCTATACTTTGTGTGCCGGGCCTGGTCTGCCGGCCCATCGTGCTAGGCCGACCCGACCGTGCCGGGCCAACCCGACCGGGCCAGCCCAGCGTGTCGGAGGGGAGGCCCAGGTACGGCCGGGCCGTGCTTGGGCCGGGCCAAAAAGCCATGCCATTAGCCGGGCCTTCGGGCCTCGGGCCTTATGGCCATCTATTGCCACTGCCATCGCCGGTCTCCTGGAATAGAGGAGAGGGAAGAAAGAGGAAGAATAAGGAAAGAAGGGCAATTTGGTCAAAAAATTATTGTAAATGCATCTCAATGGCATATCTCGAATATGTGCAAAATTATAATAGTATGGATCCAAATACACGAATACTAATGGCATATTTCGAAATCGGCATATTTATAATGTCATGTTATCTAATTAACCCAAATTTGTAAGAGGCAAAACAATTTTCAACTACGAGTTCTAGAAACAGGTTCAAGGAAGTTTTAGGGTACAGCTTGAATGATTACAGATTCAATGTCTCAAAAGATAGAATTGCATACTACTTATTCACAAAGATTGTTTCAATTTTATTAATTGAGACCTACACATACAAAACTTGTACTATTGTCCAACAACATTTAGGTTGCGGTCGCAATATGCTGCACACATCCACGTACGTATACGTATACGTGTCGCAATTGATTACGTAGCCTGGGCTTCTTTAATTATGTACAGTGGGTTGGGCTTCTTTTATTTTATTGCCTGGGCTCGTTTCATTTTTGTGGGCTGGAGTTCATTTATTAAAGCTCGGCCTGACTTGAAGAATGTGATCTCGAGGGATATCATCTCGTTTCGTGCATGTCATCTAAATAGTTATCACAAAATTTGCAACATAAACTAATATAAAATATATCACTCCATAAACATGCAAGTTTAAATTCAACTTATACAAGTTATAACAAAATAACAAATATAGCCGCGAATGTACCATAACTATTTCTAGTTTAATTTGTTTTTTTTTTCAACTTGTATATCGCGCTCGTCCTCCCCGTCGTCGCCGCCGCCCCGGCGAGGAGCCGCCCGCGCCTCTCTCCCTCTGCGATGGTGAGCTACTCATGTGTTTTACTGTCCTATGAAATTATTAGGTAGTAGGGTTTATGAGCTTTCTGGTTGATTCCTGGCCAATAATTTTATCACCGCTAGTCACTCCAAATCGTCGCATGCCTCTAGGATTCTAGTACCACTGAAAACCTAAGTCGATTTGCAAGTAAAATGCTAATATGTTAGTACTGCATTATCTTAATGTAATCTCCCCTGTTCATATTATGATTATGAATTTGTGATTCATTTTCTTGGATGAACAGATATAAAGAAGCTATCTTCTGGAGATGTTCACTTGTACTGCAAAGCATGCTCAGCAAGATTGGCAAAACAGCCACTAAGGTAGAGCATAACAGACTTTGAGTTGTGACCGCCGGATCGGTGCCGACACCGCCGTCGTTGGATCCACCCGCGACAAGCCGTCGACATCGCAGTTGCCACCGGATCCGCCCGTTGAAGCCGCAGAAGGACGCCTTCGCTCACGGTGGGGGAGGGAGCCGCCATTACTGCCCATGCGGAGGGAGGGCGCCGCCACCGTCGTTCGCGGAAGGGAAGGACGCCGCCGCCACCACCCGTGCTAAGGGAGGGCGCCACCGCTCACAGTGGGAGAGAAGAGGAATGAATCTAGGGTTAGGGTTTCAACAAACAATGTTTTATCTAAATCACGGTGATCCTAGCCATTCGATCGAATTCAATGACTCTCAGCGCACTTATGCCGACTTTGTCCGTGGCCTGTCACATGGGCCCAGTGCACTTAAAAGGTGGACACAACGTCCTTCTAATTGTGGGCCTAATTGTGTTTTATTTCTTTCATCTGATTTAAACTATTTTTCAATTAACAAACTTAGTTTAAGCACTTTTTGAGGCATTAAAAATTGCTGAAATTTGATATAGTTTTTCATTCTTTATAATAAATTATTTCTAGCTAGATGGAGTCAACGAAATGTAATTATTTCTTTGTCATGATATAGAATTAGACATAGATTTAATTTATTATTTATGTCCAGGAGTATCCAATATATATAATTTCTATGAAACTATAAAATAACTATAATCATCGTAACATTAGTTTTTCCCATCGCAACGCACGGACATCTTTTCTAGTCCAATATTGAAATCTAGCAGCTACAATGTATACATGAGTATCTCACAGCAACATGTGAGGTACGGTGTCATCTAATCCTATTATAACTCGATCTACATTCTTTGTGCATATTTTTGAGACAAACTCTAAGAAATAAAGCACTAGGTGATATGAATCTGTATTTTAACGTACATGACGTGTGTGTGTATATATATATATATATATATATATATATATATATATATGTATGTATATGTGTGTGTGTGTGTGTGTGTGTAGCAACCGGGCACGCCAAGTTGGCAAACCTAAGGCCATCGATCGCCTAGCTCGCGCCGCGATGAACGACGACGTGGTGAGCGAGATCCTCCTGCGGTTACCGGCGAAGGCCGTCCTCCGCTCCCGCGCCGTCTGCCGGACCTGGCGCCGCATCACCACCGCCTACTCCCGCCGCCGCCCGCTTCAGCTCCTCGGCAACACGGACCCCAGTTATTACTTTACCCCCTTCAACACCTTGACCTCCCTCCCAGCCACGGCCGTTCCACGCATCGACGACGGCGGCGACATCGCCGGCTGCCGGCGTTTGCTCCACCGCGACAGATTCTGCTTGGGCCTGGAGGCTACCTGCGACGGCTTCTTGCTGTTCAGAAGAGTGCAGAAGGGGAGCATGCTCATCTGCAACCCGGCGACGCGGCAGCTCGTCAATCTGCCGCCGGTGAGCCCTGAGCCGTCGTCGCGGCCAAATGATAACGAGCTGCGGGCACTGGGCTTCTACTTCCACCGGCCGTCCGGCGAGTACCGCGTGCTGTGCCACCGCCCACTCCTAGATGTAGATGCCACCTACATCCTCTCCACCGGCGCCGCCGAGCCACGGCGGCTCGGCGGCGGCCCTGACTACCACCGCTGCACCATGGTCGTCGGCGAGACCATCGGCGACACCGTATACTGGTGCCGCCCCCGTTACCTGCACAACGGCAAGCCACAGATATCGTCGTTCGACACGGTGTCGGAGGCGTTCCGCCTGCTGCCGCCGCCTCCGGTGAGCCTCGCCAAGGACGAACTGGTCGCCATGATCGACATGCGCGGCACGCCGGCCGTGTGGACGATGACCGAGCTGCACCTCGACGTCTGGGCCTTGGAGGAGGAGGAGAGGTGGGTGCGGCGGCTGCGGGTGGGGATGCCTCCGCCGCCCGCGCCACTCGCCTACTGGAGCAAGGGCAGCAGGAAGAACGCCGTGGCCACGTTCGAGTCCGGCGACGGCGGCGTGCAGATGGTGGTGGTGACCTGGGCTTGGAAGTTGCTGTACGACGACACCAGCAAGGACAGGAGGGTGGTGGGTCGCACTATTGTTCCGAGACACTGTGGACATTTCTGGCACACCAATTGTTGGTTTCGTGCCTACCGGGAGAGCCTCGTCAGGGTGGAATCTTGCACGCCGGACCTCCCGCCGGACGGCGAGCCCTATCTACAATTCTGTTGAGTACAAACACGTCGTTGCTAGCTAGTGATACTATGATTAGTAGTACTTCCTAGTCCTCTGTGTTTTATAGAGTAATTATATAAGTTATTTTTGACTTTTTTGTTTTTACAAACAAGTCCCTAGTGCTAGTGCTTCGCCTCGCGCTATTTTTCGGGCCGTTTCTCGGGTGCGGCCCAGCCCACGACACCGAACCGCAATCACCCCCTCCTTCGTTTCGCCGCGGCAGCGCGGACCACACCACTGCTCCCCGCTACCGCCGGCGGCTGCTCCGACCGCCGCCCCAGCGCACGCCGCCGCCGATGTGGAAGAGAGTTCTGGACATGACGAAGAAGGCCACCGCCGCCGCTACCGCCGCAACTGGCCCATTCATATGCCCACCCAGTGTCATGCCATATGCCTTACACAGAGCCCACATGCGCCATGCGCCATATGCCCCACCCTCTTAGCACACGTCCGTACGTCCAATGACGTGCTATATGCTATGCCAAGTGCCCGCATACTAATCCGTATGAGCAACCGCGAGGGTCAGCTCTGATACTATTTTTAGAAAACCAACACTTATAGTATATGTATATATACAGATCGGCACCTATAGTACCGATCTGTGTATGTGTTTTTATAGTAGTGACATATCAACACTAAGATACATAGCCAATGCAAATTCGTTGAGCTACAACCTTCAAAATTATTACCATAGATGGGCTCATCAATAATGCTACAGATCAACACGATAATATGGAATTCGTATGATTTACACAACAGTTCATATGTATAAAATTTGGAGATATTTGCAAGGTATGTACAAATTTAATATTTTTGTGCACGTGTTATAAGTACACAAGCAATCTTAACCATCTATATTTGTGATATTCACCCAGTGCAACGCTAAGCATATTTGCTAGTAAAATAAAAGTACTTATAGCATTTCTATGAGCATGTTCAAAGGGGCTGAATCTCAAGTCAGCCCTAAACCCATCCATGACATCAAGGGTTGATGCATGAGACACGCATACGGCCGCATATTTTACACTGTCACCCATAATCACGTCAAAAACAACCCATCGAATCAATCCTCACCTCCTCTCCTCTACGAGCGCGCGACTCCACCTCCTGCCGCCGCCGCGATTTACTCTTAACAACGTCAAAACTGCAGAATTGCAGAATATACGCAGGTCAGCTTTCAAACTTGAGCCGACAATCAGAAACCAATGAAAACAAAATTTCATTATATAAACGCTAACAAAGGTATATATGATTATACAAGATTGTTTCCTAGGCCCACTACAAGAAAGGAAAATGTTTCCTAGGCTACATTAGAAGAAAAACAAATGCTATCACACATGAAATCAGATTACAAAACTTTGCGCCACATGGCTGATTCTACTCACAGTTAGCGCTTTTGATCTCTATTCATATATATATACAGGGAAAAATGGCATACATTATCATTGAAATATGAATCTGAATCACTTTGTTGTCTTCCCAAGGCAAATTATGAGCAATTGCTGTACGCCAGCAGATTAAGTTACTCGATCCATATCATCTTTCATGATGATACTTCATCTCATCATTCTAAGAAACCTTTGTTTTGGTGGGAAACTATAGATCGAGACAATGGGTCTTTACAAATAGATATGACTAACTTCTCTAAAATCACAGCTTCTGTTTCTTCCAAGATGATGACTTAGTGTCAAAAACTATCACATTTCTTCCATGTCGCTTCCTGATCCAGGACTTAGTGTCAGATTTATCAATAGGAGCTGGATGCTCTCCAACTTCATGGAATGTTCTCTTCTGCCTAACCAAGTCCCTGATTCCTGTCACATGAAGATCCTTCTGTCCGCTGACAACATGGTAAACATGATCTGCTTTCAGAGCTCCCCGGGAATATTGTTTCTCAAACCTTGCATCACTGCCATTGCTATGACCCATATGCATTCGCAGTGACTGATTGCCTTCATTCCTTGCTGGGCAAACAGTTGATTTGCGATTAGCTGGAATGTTCAAAGGCAAAGACCTAGAAGCCTCTCTATCAAAGTTATTGCTTAGACTTCTTATTGAAGAGTGCGTATGCCTCATAACAGCGCCCAAAGAGTGTGTTATGTGCTGATTCTCCATCAGAGTTGGAGTTGGCAGTGGCCTGATTATCGGCTGTCTCTCCATCAGAGTTGGAGTTGGTGGTGGCCTGATCACCTGCTGTCTCTCCATCAGACTTGGAGTTGGCGGTGGCCTGATGGCAGGACCCATGGAGCATGGGTTTCTTCCCATAAATAGCTCTGTCATTTGTTGGATAACAGCTGCAGGTGGAATAAATCATCAGCACGATGGAAAATCGATGGCACTAATTGAAAACAAATGGCAATGGTCCGATTTAACCCTGGAAAAAAGGCTAAAACTTCATGAATCCATATTATAAGGATTGTACCTTGTAACTGCTTTGGAGCAACATCAAACTCATGCCACCATACTTTTCCATCAGAAGGAAGTCTAAAATTATTAAACTTAGCAGCAAGGTAGAGGGACCCTGCTGCTATGTAGTGAGGTTTAAACTGCACAACCAAAGTAGTCCGAATCCTGCATAAACAGGACAGCAGTACCAACTCAGAAACAACAGAGTTGCAATTTCAAGAATAAACAAATAACAAGGTGACGCAAAGAACTTACGCATCATTTATTAGATTCACCGCAACTTGTTTCACTTCCATCTGGAAAATGCCCAGCTTCTTGAGAGCGAGCTTTAGTGGCTCGTAAGGATGCTGTATGTTGAAATCAAACCTAATTGTTGAAAGCAACAGCGTCTCCCCTACCAAAATGAGCTCTTTCTGCTTCTCAAGAACTTCCTGCTTTTAGTAAGAAAAGTTATGACAAAGAAGCCGGTTATATAGCAAGAGTATACTAATAGAAAAAATGGAAAGTTTTAAGCACCTTCTGGTAGATTCTGTGAGCAGCGTTACAGTCTTTCCGGTACATGGTTTCATATGCCACAATGATGACACGTTGTAATGGGCAAGGTGTGTCTTCAATCTTCGAAGCAAGAAATACGCAGACAGTTGCAACGGTCTGGAATAACAGATAGTAACTATGATTTACATGTTCAATAGTAAAAATTGTTAAATAAACTTGCGCATTTGTGTTAGTTAGTACCATGGGCCCAAATCTAGGATTAAATTTCCCATGGCTAGAAATAAATAAGCACCTATATTGGAAAAGGCAAATAGCAATAAAGACAAGTTGTTATTACTTACTGGTAAATAGTACTAATAGAAAGCATTGCCTTCAAGTTTGATAAAGTCGCTCCCAAGAATCACGTGTCTTGCCCAAAATTGCAATTTTTGGTGCTCCGAGTAAAATTGCTTAAAGCTATACCTCACTTCCAGATTCATTACTTAAATGGGCGAACTTCAAGTCGAAGTGAAAATTTTCAACGCTTATATTTCATAAAAGACCCCTCATGGGAAGTTTTTATCACTCCAACGACCAGTACACCACATAAGGAATGATCCAATCAACAGTGCTCCAAATGATTATACACATTTACATCAAACCAGCTTGTATGTATCCATATATCCATGCCGGTGTAATTTTCTTAACAACCCACGTGACTACACTACCCTCGACTAACCCCAGAGGATGGTACATAGTCAGGTAATGTTAGGATCCAACGGATAAAAATAGGAAGTTTTAACTTCCGAAAACATCTACACAAGTAAGAAATGAAGTTAGTTATACGACATGGTTAAAAAAAGTAAGTGTTAACACCTTTACCCTCAATGGAGTGCGTAGAGCTTTCTAGCCCAAGAGTTTTTATGGTGGCAAATATAGATTGTTTTATACATAGTTATATTTTTGTGGATAGGAGCAGTGGCAGAGCCACGTTATGACCTGCGGGGTCAACTAACCCCATAATTTCTCATATTTGCATTGAAACTGAAATATATAATCTTTTGATACATTCTCCGCAGGGTTGGGATTTTGATCCTGGATCGGCCATTGCATCTCAGTGTGCTACAGGCACAGAACATCGATTGCAGAAAACACGAAACAGTTGGTTAACGGATGAAATGGCACCACTGATTTTTGCTGATGCAAAAGCGTTTGGTCACTCGCTGTTGGCAATGGCAGATTAGCTTTAATTATCAGTGTCACTATAACCTCAGAGGAAGATTTTCAACATTGGATAGTGCCACAACTAGTGGGCAAACAAATGTGCGCATCCGTATCTGAAGAACTGCATTTTTTTTTTACCTGCCACTCGTTCTTGGCGTGAGACTGTCGGAGATAAAAGCGATGGCAGAGCAAGGTTGCCGTCGCGATTGTCACCTGAGGCCTGCAAAAAATAAAATTAAATTAGCATCTTTCATCAGGAAAAAAACCCAAATCCAACGCGCCCCCATCAACAGCAACCAACCAACAACATATAAATCACTCTCAACAGATTTAACGCGCACGCCGCGTGCGAGAATGGATCGAATTCGACAACCAGATGGAAAGGAAGAAAGAAGATCGATCTTACAGCTGCAGCCTGAGGCCGACGTCGCGGATGAAGGAGCAGTAGGTCGCCCGGAGCTCGGCCTCCTTGGCGGCGCCGACGCCGTCCCTCCTCGACGGCGAACCCCTCTCGACCTCATCCCTCGTGACGTACCACGACCCCGCCGCGCCCTCCCCCATCGCCACCGATCACCCAAACCACCACAAGATCAAATCCCTCCCCCCCCCCCCCCCAATTCTCCAAATCGGAGCACGAATCCTTCGTTGCCAAGGCTTCGCGGGATGGAAACCGCGAGGAGGTGGAGGTGGATGGAGGCGACGACTTGGGCGTGGACTCTGATGGCGGCGGCGGGCGGCGACTTGGCCGCCGCGGCGAGGAGGGGGGTTGGGAGGCGGAGGAGGGCGACGCGGTTGTGTTTTTTTTTTCTCCTTTTTTTTTCTTTTTCTTTCTTTTTTTTGTTGTTCGTTTCGTGGCGTGTGGTTGTGTTCTGTTTTTTGGTTTGGGTTGGGGTTTGGCTCGTGGGACGCGTGCGTTATTTGGCGTGGGGGTGACATGTGGGGCCCGCGTGGTGTGGAAGTCGGTTTCGGTGTCGTGGCGTGGCGTGGTGCGGATATTTTGGTATGGGCCGAATTGAGATTGTAAGGCCCATATTATGGGGTGCGTGTAGGGTGTGTTGAGTTGGGCTTGGAGATGGGTTGGGCTGAGAGGATGTTCTGAAGCTCTTTGTGTTTTTTTTCTTTTTCTTTTTTTTTTGTGTGTGTGTGGGGTGGGGGGAGAGAATTTTTCCACATAAAATTCCCTATAGTAGATAGTGGAGTATTTGACATTTAGGGGAAAAAAATTCAGTCGATTTTTAAAATATTTTTTACTGGATGGAGTAGAATATTTTTATTTTACTTCATTTCATTTATAAAAACAGCTGCCTCTATCCTGTTGCATTGTACTGACAACTTTGTTGTGCACTTGTGCAACACCCAGGAAGGAAACAAGAGATAGGGATGACATGATTTTTCTTTTATGCTGAATGTTTTTCGTGCAATGAAAAATGAGCAATAATTGTTTTTCTTTTTTGAAAGGAGGGCAAAAGCTCTGCCTGTCTGCCTCAATGGGCAATAATAGTGGTACACGAACAAAACTGTACTGTGAGGTTAAGAGGAAACGGTGTTGTCTGAAAGCTAACCAGACGTTAGGTTCACCTTCCATGCATCCATAATCCATGCCCTAACTACAGATAATCATTAGCCCAACTGTTATTATTATTATTTTTTCTACAAATTATATTCAAATCGACCAGGCCCAAAACGGTGTGAACAGCGAGAAGATCATTAGCGTCGCAGATCGATCTCAATTGGAGTACCAGATTAGATTGCTTACAAAAATACCAGCAGAGTATTATTAATGTCAACACGGCTAGGTAGCCACAAACCTTAGCTGTCTTGAAGTTTAATCAAGCGATGATTGAGCTAAGCTAGCTTAATTAGCTGCGTTCCATCCGTCGTACGGCGGCTCACCGGCCGGCCGCCGGATTTGGTCCGGTCCAGCTCACCTCACGCACCGGACACGAACACGGAGCAAGTCAACACAGATTAATGACGAGGTTGCTAGCTAATCAAACACCAAGAGCTTGTTCACTTTACAGCCATTTTCAACGTTTTGTATTACCAAAATTTTGATTAATTGATAACATTAACAAGTTTTAATAAGATTGGCTAAATATAGTGTTGTCAAATTCTCCAATCATGACCAATATTTTGGTAACAAACTAAATATATCAGTTTTAGCAAACAGTGATATGGTTTAAAATGATATGAATATGAAGAAGCCCCAAATGATGGGCTTTGATTGACCAACTAATGCAAAAATCCATCATCTACTTTGATTAATCAATCCGTTTAAACCACTCCAGATTTTGGTCTTAACTGGCAGCAGATTAATTAGGCACTGGTTCTGTACTAGTGGTAGTTTTGTACGTACGGTTCTTGCATTGCATTATAAGTGAATGGCCTAGCTGATGAGCCTGTTGTGCAATTCTTGACTATTTATAATTAACTGCTGACAAATTGGCAATTTGTTCGATCGTCTGATTTGAGAAGGTCAAGAACGCAGTGCAGCTGGAGTAATTAACAAGTAGTATAGGCAGTAGTCTGTTTTCGTTTCTGAAAAGAATGTTGACGAGACTTAACTTGAGCCAGCAACTTAGAATCATAAGAGACGGCGCGATTAATTGACTGTCATGCATGTAGTTAATACACTTAATCATACCGGTGGTATCTACTCCTACTGATGTTAAACATGTCTTACAAACGAATCCCAACCTGGTGAGAAGTTCTGCCAAGACAGTACTACTGTTCAAAATTTGACAGCAACTCGGAGTAGCAAATTTTGCTCATTGTGACAATATGACAGTGGTAAGAACTAGGACTTCTTTCGTCCAATATTTATATCAACATGAAACCGAATATGTCATTATAGTACAACGAATCTAAAAAAATGTCATCCAGACTTCAAATTCATTATAGGTACTATAAAATATTCTATCGGATTTTAGGTTGCTACTATGTTAAGGATTGAAGGAACTGGTATGTTCAAAATTAATTATTTGGTTGTCATACTTTGCCTTGTCACACTTTAGTTATGCCACAATTTCTTAAGTATGTGTTTGTTTCACTATCATAATTGTGTCATACCACACTTTTTTAGCCTTAGAACCCACATACTCCCTCCGTCCCATAAAAAACCATCATAGTACTACGAATCTGGACATACTTCTGTCCATAATCGTTGTACTAGAATATGTCACATCCAATTCTAAATTTGTTTTTTCGGAACTGAGAGAGTATCATACTCTTAAATTTGGAGCTAAGCATGCCATATTTATGGACCGTGGCCAACTATTTCTAAGCCACATATGTGCCGCCATATCTCAAACTAACTAAACTTAATGATGACCAACCAAACATTCCCCTAAATGCGAAGCCAATTAGGATTAAAACAAAATGGTGACAATTAGGGGCATGCCAATGCACGAAACAGTGGCGCTACTGGAGCGCCACGTTCTGAGCCGCAGAGGCATTGCTTGCTTCCTTGCCTTTTGCGTGTTAACTCCTAGTACTACTGCTGCCAGCCTCGTGCTGCAGCTGCCATCTGCTACCTGTATCCTGCATTTCTTGCCCCTCATTGACCATCCAATCCAACTTCATCATTCATTTCCCATCGCATCTTCACATGCTTCTTCTCGAGTGCCTCGAGATGCGTGCCCCGCCCACCAGCAGTTGCACAGTAGCAGCCGCAGAGAATCCCAGGCAGGTCACGGCTACTAGCTGTAACTAACGGCCGGCTACAGGGCGAGCAGCGTCTGCGGTCGCGCCACTGACAGGTGGGGCATACGTGCCACCGGGGCCCACCTGTCAGTGACGCAGATAGGGTTCTTCCGCTGGCTGTACCCCTCCGACAGAATGGACGTGCTGTTGCTGCTAGTATTACCTTTTGCGTTTTACTCCTTCTACCATGGTGGCTGCCATCATGGTAGAAACCGTACTTGCTGTTCTGTCAGCCCAATTGTTTACTCGGTTATTTGTGGAATAAGCCATACGGTATACTATTTATAAACAAAAAATAATTTATAAATAATATATATATATGTGTGTGTGTGTTTTTAGTGATATAAAAATAAATGCTGAAAAATAAATTTTGATAAAAACCTTCAAAATCAGCTATAAATTTAAGGTTGAAAAAATAAATTTTAGCTAATAAGTATAAACATAATCGTAAAGATGAGACTGTGTATTGGACGGAATTAGGATAGTTCAGATTCACGGTACCGGATGTGTTAAGGTTTATAATTTTTTTTGACGGAGGAGGAAGTATATGTGAGTGTAAATAATGATAACTATGAGGGGTACATGAAAAAATGTAACTAGTCCTAGGCGCGGGCGGGCCGGGGCCTGGAGAGTGGGTCCCATGGTTGGCGCTCCCCGCGGGCGCGCCACGTGCGGCAACAGCCAGGTGGGGCCTACCTACCTCTCCGCACCGTTGCTGAATTTTTTGGTTTTTCTTTTTTCTCTGTATCCGCTCCAATTCCCACCTAAAATTTGGCCGGGTCAAAACTCCGGAGTCCAATATGGGGGGATATTTTTTTTTCGCTGCGAAGTCTGGGTGGATTTTGTTTACATCTAGACCCTTATGAGAGTGTGAAATTACTTGAACGCAACGATGGTCTTATTCCTTTTATAAATTATCTATTTTCCCTTTTTCTTATTATGTTCATGGTTATATAGATGCATCTTTCTTCGAAGGCTGGGTGGATACATCTGAGAAAGAGCTAGTAGTATGTGAGAAAAGCTAATCACATACTAAACGCGTACCTGTGTTGTTTTTTAAACAACAATGGCATGCAATAGAGTGGTGTTACGTCGTCATTTGTCTAAAAAAGACATTGTTTTCTGGAGAAAGAAAAGGGCATTGCGTTATATTATATAGAAAAGAAAAAGACACTGCCTTCTTACTTTATCTGGCATGTAAAGATGTATAAAATCACACGGCATAATTAAAAAGGTTTTCGCTCATCTATCCTCTTTCATCTCTCTCACTTTGCAGTTAAGTATTATCCATCTTGTTTCCAATGATCATCTACGATTCCTCACTGTCTCAATCTCATTCTTGAACAAAATACGAGTAATAAAATTATGGGAGAGAGTAAAGTAGATTAGAAGAATATTAGTGTTGCATCCAATAAAGCAATACGCATTCTGCAATTTGCTTTCAACAAAATCATGTACTTAAATTTTTATCTAAAAACATCCTTTTACAAAAAGAAACTTATACAACTACATCTAATAAAGCCTCTTTTTTCACCCTAAAGCAACCCGGCCGTCACTAAGGACCGTTTTAGCTTTTCGGACGATTAGTCACTTAGCTTCATGGAGAAGGCACTTAATTAAGACATGATTGTATTAAAGATTAAAAACTTGAAAAAAAGTAGATCTATTCAAAAATTTTAAGAAAAATATCCCTACATAGTTTTATTTTAAAAAATTACAAGGTTTATGCCCATGATAATCTAGCGGTTATATTCTGAAAAGAACTAGGCCTAAGAATGAGAATCTCATGTTGGTTATTGCTCGACAAATCCTAGTGCAATATCAAAGTAGAAGAGTATCACTTTATGCCAAAAACTTCAAAGATTCACGCTCTTTTTCACACGCCATGTTCTTTGTCCTAAGCTCTAATATATTTGCTTGTCGTCATTCAATGCATTTATCACAAACATAAGCAGCATATAGCAAGAATATTTATCTAATGCTATAATACTAATATAATAACCACTACTATCCCAAATTTATTCCAACCCAAACAACCCATGACTCTATTGATATTGCATGAACTCAATTATATGATATTCATAACTTGCCACATAAACATCAATGTATACATGGTTAACGTTGATAGTTATCACGAAAAACCACTTTGTTTCACAAAACCGTCGGCAGCTGGTTTGTAACATGTTTTAGCTGATTTTTATACGGAGTTCATCAGAAGTCCTTGAATATTTTTGTTCGGTTTTGTTTGGTTCTCAGGTAGAGCGATTTTTACTCCCAAACTGGTAATCTTTTCATACATATTTTTCATGGTCTTATCAGGCTTTCAACAAACCAACAAAGAATGGGTTTTACTCCCAAAACGGCAAAGGTTACCGAAAATCCTTGCTTTTTTTTTTAGTTTTGGGTAAACAGATATAGAACGGGTTTTTACTCCAAGACGGTTAGCTAAACCCCCACCGTACCCAACGCCTCCATCGCCACAAATATCAGCCAACCCAGGGAGGACGCGAACGCAAATTCCCAGAAACCCGAGGGGCTGAAACGGAAGCGAATCCGAAACCACACAAGCCGAAGCGAAGCGCGCACCGAATTCCCGGAGGAATCGGCATCGGCTGCTCCTCCTTCCTTCTTCCACCTCGTCGACGTCGCCTCCTTCCTCCCATCTTTTCCATTACTTTAAAGTTACCTCCACTACTTTACCTCCCCACTCCTCTCCCCCACCACCCACCCGCCTCCCTCTCCCTCTCTCTCTTCTTCCTCCTCCGCGACGCCTCTCCCCAAAAAATTCCCCTCCCCGACCGCCTCGCCTCGGATTCGATTCCCGCGCCGCCGCTTCGCCGGCGCCGACGACGACGACCGACCGAGGTGGGTACATCATCGGGGGGCGAGATCTCCGCGGTGCTCGAGGTAGCCGCGGTGGTGAGTTTTTTGTTTTTTTGTGGGGTGGAGGGGGCTAGGGTTTCTGACGGGGAATGCGGGTTGCGTTGCAGGATCCGGAGGTTTGGGAGAGGAGGAGGAGGAGGAGGAGGAGGCTGTGCTTGTTCGTCCGACGACGTCCATGTCGGGGCATCTCGATCGCCTCGCGCGGCCATGTGAGTTGGGGATTTTGATTTTTCTCTCCGTTCTGTTTTTTGGGGTTTTTTTTGCTCGATTTTTTTTTCCTGGGAGATTTGATTGCTGGGGGGTTATGAGATTGGATTGGATTGGCTGCATTGGGATGTCTCGCCGTGAGGATTGGCCTGCACTGGCGCCGCGTTAGAACCCGGATTAATCACAGAGACTAGATTAGATTTAGGATTTAGGCGAATCAAGCTCGCTGCGAGTTCTCTCGCTTCCGTGTGTTCTGGTTTGGAATAAGTTAGGGCTTAGTATCCATCGAGTCGTAGGACGGTTTGCGTCCAGTCTATGTGTGGTTCGAGTTTGACCGGTTCAATATTGTGCTGTTCTGGTCTTGTTGAAGGTTCCATGTTCTCTGGTTTTGATGGACGCGTAGCTCCCAGAATGTGAGTGGCCAGGCTAGGTTGGATGCTTTGACTTGTGAAGCATAAAATTCACGGGGGACTTTCGGTTTGGTGCTGGATTTTTCTGTGACAGGAAACTAACTTACTATATAGGCTTCAACTTGATTGAAGGGAGAAAATGTTTTTGATACAAGGAGAAGGTTTCATGTCGATTTCCGCATAGAACACTGCATTGACCAGTTCAATAACCTCAAGCTCCGCACAATCTTAAATTCATGAATTCTGAATCTGGTTGACTAGATGGCCAGAAATTTCAACGCAGCGTACACTAAAAGTCACAATTAAGAACACATATATCATGTTGGGTAGGATTTTGATGTTCATCATCTTATAAAAAAGAATTGAATAAATCCTTTTTAGGTAGAAACTTGTATTGTTTGGGTATAGTTGTTGACAAAAGTTACATAACATTTGTTGACAAAAGTTGACAAAATTTCCAGCTGTAACCATTTGGATACATAAGGTTGTTAGTATTGAATTATCTAGTTGTGTAACTAAGCTAGTTTGGTGGATTCATTGTTGTGAACAAAGCTATTCCAATGCTTAGATTGCTGAAAAATTGACATCACCTTGTCTTCTTGCTAGCATGAAGAGTTTAGACAAACTTAATTTTATATCTTAAATAAGTTGAGCGGTTGTCAAAGTTTATTTATTTATTTATGTACAAGTAGCTAATTGTTGTAAATTTGCACGATTACCGAGATTTTTTTCCTTTTCTTTCTTTTTTGGATGTGGTGGGGCATGAGCAGTTCTTTTGTTTAGAATGTTTAGAAATATCACCCTTTATCTGCATTCTAAAATTTCCAATGATCCAGGTTTTGAAGGGTCTTCAAGTAATGATGACAAGAGAGATCACAAGTCAGACGTTGAAAATTCTGAAGATGACAAGAGAACAAGAATGGGTTCTCTGAAGAAAAAAGCTATAGATGCATCAACCAAAATTAGGCATTCCTTGAAAAAGAAGAAGAGGAGGAGCGGCAGTCGGGTCCTCTCCGTGTCTATTGAAGATGTGCGTGATCTAGAGGAGCTGCAAGCAGTTGAAGCATTTAGACAAGCACTGATTTTGGATGAGTTGTTGCCTGCAAGGCATGATGACTATCATATGATGCTGAGGTATATATACCCTATTACTTACCATCATTTTTTTAACCCAACTGCAAACATGCTGATGACTTGACTAATTGATTTGTGTAGATTTCTAAAAGCAAGGAGATTTGACATTGAGAAAGCAAAGCAAATGTGGACTGACATGCTTAAATGGAGGAAGGAGTACGGTACAGATACAATTGTTGAGGTTAGTGTTCTTGCTTGTGCCTATAAAACAATTTGGATTTTGTTTGGCTATAAATAATGCCTGTAACTACATTTCTCTGTAGGATTTTGATTACAATGAGTTAGACGCTGTTCTGCAATATTATCCTCACGGTTATCATGGAGTTGACAAAGACGGGAGACCTGTTTATATTGAAAGGCTTGGAAAGGTTGACCCCAATAAGCTTATGCATGTAACAACAATGGACCGATATGTAAGATACCATGTGAAGGAATTTGAACGGAGCTTCTTGATCAAGTTCCCAGCATGCTCTCTTGCTGCAAAAAGGCACATTGATTCGAGCACAACAATTCTTGATGTTCAGGGTGTGGTATGCTGCTGAAGCTTTAATCTCCAGACTGATTATTCTTTCTTTTTTTTCTTTTCACTCAGGCATGTGCTAATTGAGCACATTCTTTTCAGGGTTTGAAAAATTTCAGCAAAACTGCACGTGAATTAATTGTCCGATTGCAAAAAATTGATAATGATAACTACCCAGAGGTACTGTCTTCTACTCAATTCGCTGATAAGCACAGTACTGTGTTAATTTTCTTGCTAACTTTTTTTTCGTGGTTTTATGTGTTCAGACCCTATATCAAATGTTTATTGTCAATGCTGGTCCGGGGTTTCGGCTCTTATGGAACACTGTGAAGTCCTTTCTGGACCCAAAAACCACTTCCAAGATACATGTAAGTCTTTATTCTTACTACACTTCAACTTTTGCATGGGAAAGATACTTAGTGCCTAAGGTAATTATATATTTCTTCAGGTACTCGGGAACAAATATCAAAGCAAGCTGCTAGAAGTAATTGATGCTAGGTAAGTAATGTTCAATGTACTCTTGTTGGGACACTCTTTTTGTTTGTTCTTCATTTTCTTTAATGTTCCTTCCATTTTAATAAATTAATCAGTGAATTGCCGGAATTCCTTGGTGGCGCTTGTACCTGTCCTGAATATGGAGGGTGTCTTAAAGCTGAAAAAGGACCATGGAAGGACCAAAACATACTCAATGTACGTTTGATTTCTTCCTTACTGTTTGTCTATTCATTATCAGTGCATTGCTTTCTATACCCTTCCTCATATGTTTTAATAATTTTTTTTATACTGATACCAGATAGTCCTTAGTGGCGAGGCTCAGTGTGCTCGACAAATTGTAACTGTTTCCAATGGAGAGGAAAAGATAATTTCTTATGCCAAGTCCAAGCACCACACAGTATGTCTCACAACTCAGTACTATTTTTCTATTGCTTTCTTTGCCTTGTGCTCTATGCAGAAACCTAAATCTTGCTTTATTCTGGATTGCTAGATACGAGGGAGCGATACATCCACTGCTGAGTCTGGATCTGAGGCTGAAGATGTTACGTCTCCAAAAGTACTGAGAAGTTACATCTCCCATCCTAAGTTGACCCCTGTCCGTGAAGAGGTTGGTAGTTTTAGTTTTGTTATCCAGAACTGTTTCTTGGTTGCAAGAATATATTCTACAGTACCGTCTGTTGTTTCCTTCCTCCCTATGCCTATTTGTTGAGAGCAGGGAAGGAGGCGGGGCACATTAAAACTAAAATATAACTTATGTTTCTTTGTTGTTTTACATAAATAATTTCATCTATTTTATAGAAAGTGCAAACTAAGCAGTACTGAAGTGAACTAGTGATGCTGGCTTGCATCCTCTTATGTTACAAAATAAATGCTTTCTCCTTTAAGCTCTGTTATTATGGATTATGCCACTTAAATTAAATCATTTCCTTCTTCAGGTCAAGATGGTTAGAGCCACGAGCTTTTCTACTCGCATGCCTGAATACGATGTTCCTGTCGTCGATAAGGCTGTAGATGCAACATGGAAGAGAGAAGTGACTCGAAAGACTGCCTTCTCATCCAAAGGTTTGTTGGTAATATAATTGTAAGATCTGAAATTTACCTTTGGTTGCTGCCAAAACCTGATGATTCCCTCTCTTCAATATAGACTCTTCTTTGACAAGCACAGAAAGTTCATCCAATGGCTCTTTGGACCGGATCGTTGCAGTTTTGCTGGCAGTTTTTATGGCAATCATTACTTTAGTTCGGTCAGTTAAAGATCTTGCTGCAAAGAGATTGCCAGATAAAAACGAGTCAGAACAGAAGTATTCAACATTATATCCAGACTCGATGCCAAAAGAGGAATTCCGACCACCTTCCCCAACTCCTGGGTTTGTTGAAGCTGAACTATTTTCGTCAGTCTTGCAAAGGCTGGGAGATCTTGAAGAGAAGTTCCTGATGCTTCAAGATAAGCCTTCAGAGATGCCCTGCGAGAAAGAAGAGTTGCTTAATGCTGCTGTCCGCCGTGTGGATGCGCTGGAAGCTGAACTTATTGTAACAAAGAAGGTAAACAATTCTGAACTGCGAAACTTTACATTATAGTATCGTTTATCACTACTTTATTAGGGTATGTGAAACATGTCAGCTGATCATTTGCAAAAATTTTCTCAAGGCCCTACATGAGGCTCTTATCAGGCAAGAGGAACTACTAGCCTACATCGACAGTAAGGAGGTTGCCAAGGCTCAGAAAAAGAAGAAGGCGATGTTTTGCTATTAGCACCAGCCAACCAGGAGAGGGTACACCCCCTATCTTGGGATTATACTTTCTGACAGCCAAAGACGGCGTTTGAGAATTGAGATGTTGTAATCGGCAGCCCCCCCTGCTCGCTTCCCTGGTTCTCCTGTAAAATGTGAAACGACAGACGTCGGATGTAAATCGGCAAAATTCTGACATAAATAAATGTGTTTTTTTGCACCGAGTTCTTCCCTGATCCCTTCCCATCGCTGCAACTTGTGCAAATTCCCTGTGTCATGTGCTTGCAAGAATTATTCGGCGCCTTTCGTGTTATTTCCTGCTTCCTCCGTTTCTATTGTAGAGTTTATCCTAAGCAACACCTCTCCAAGTTTGTCAAGTTCATAGAAAAAATAAGTTATTTAACCAGAGTTCTCAGCTTTCATAACTTAGGCGAGGAGTTTTAATTTGCAAGCATATTAGCTGTAAGAAAAATTCTGAAGAAAATAGATATATACAGCCTGTACATGTAATATGTTTGATAAAGCACGTGCAGCACAACAGTGGGGTACACAGTTCAGTCCAGTAAGCAAGAAAAAGTTTGTTTTTTTTCCTTTTGCTATACACATATAAGGCCCCTTTTGAAACACAAGAAGTATGTAACATGAATTTCACAGAAATCCCGGAGGAAACAACTCAACTCAACTCCCGCAGAAATAGCAAAATTTTTTCCGCATTTCAAACGGGGTCAGATACAGCGACGACGACGCACACAAAACAACACACGAGACGCACGACCGAGCTCCATCACCGCTTCTTGCTTTAAACCCGTCCATCACCAGCGGAATGGATTCTGCTGTTGAAGGCAAAACTTTAATGGAATCAGATGATGAAACGAGTCAATGAGTTCTTCCAAAACGTAATCAAGCCTATATAATAAGATGAAGATCATCCAACGGAAAAGAAAAGCAGGAGCCCCTTACCATCCCCCTCTTCTTCTTCTTCTTCTCGATGTAGGCCAGCACCTCCTCCTGCTGCCCCGACGAAGTCTCCAAAAGCTGCAACCAACCATGGACTCTCACTTGTCAGCGACCTAGCTTCTTGGCCATGGCAACGGCAATGGCGAGTGTAATTATTTTTAGTCAATTGCAATTTAGGTTATCTATATTGTTGAAGTTTCAATTTAAACTACCCTTAAATCATCTTTTTTTTTATTTGGACCACCCCATATAATTTCTCAAACACTCGTCCATCAACAACCTCAATCAAATCGGTCTCGATACACCATTAAACTTCTCCATCTATATGTATATTATATCTTCACCAGAACGGAGGGTAGGTATGAATAGTGAAGAGAATTGTGTGGTTTAAACTGAAAAGTAGCAAATTTACCGAGTACAAACTGAAAAAAAAAATCGGTTTAAGGATGATATAAAGTGAAACATTGATAATAAAAAGTGACACAAACTACAATTTACTCTTTGTTTAATTACCTTCTTGGTGGATTCGAGCTCGGTCTCGAGGGCCTCGACGCGGGTGACGGCGGCTTTGAGCAAGTCCTCCTTGTCGGCGGGCATCTCGGGAGGGCGGGAGGTGAGCGCCGCCACCTTCTCCTCGAGGTCGCCGAGCCGCTTGATCAGCGCTTCGTACTGCGCCGTCGACACCGTCACCGTGTCCGGGCCAGGGAGCTGCTCCAGCTGCCGCTGCTGCTGCTGCATCAGCTTCCGGTTCTTGGCCATCGCCTCCATCGTCGCGATGCCCATCGCCGCGTCCATGGCGCGCTTCGGCGCGATCTTCCCCACCCGGAACATCGCCACCACCCCCATCACGAACGCCATGAACCCCGTCACCACCTGCCGGTCCCCGGCGTCGCCGTGCTTGTACGCGTCCGGCAGCGACGCGTACATGTCTGCATTGCATCCACCATCAATTATGTCAGTGACATTTGGAGAGACGTCTAGGGATATTCCGGTTAGCTTCACAAGGTGGTCGGTTAGCCTGACCGGTCTGGGTTCGAAGGCTCACCTCTTCTATTTATTTGATATTAGGTCCTTCATAATATTCGCGTTTTATATCAGTGACATTTGTAACACACACACACAATTTGAAACTGAAATTGCAATAAAAATTTCAACCTCGTGCGAGTGCGAGCTTCTCGGCGCTGACTTCGCCGTTCCAGTTGAAGTCCATGTTCTTGTCCGGCATGGGGAACAGATCGTCGTATCGGGAAGAGCTTCCCTCTTGGCCAGGAGGAGCCTGCAGTTAATTTTCTTTCTCTGTCAGTTCATCAGAAAGGGAGATGCCACATTAGGCTAACCAAGTTGCAGATTGGTTGTTTGCACTGGGATACCATGATTGAAAACAGAAGTAAAATTCACCAGCAAATTTTTGAATTTTGGATGATTAAATTGTGGCATGTGAATTATGAACAAAGTCTGCAATCATAAACTCGTGTCTATTTACCTTGCTTTCTGAAGTTGACATCTCATGGAGTGGTGACATCTGCGGATGTTCAATCTTTTCGCGTGGGATCTTGGGTGAATCAACGGAATCACGGCGAATTGATTCTTGCTTCTGCATATCAAAACACACAAAAAAATGATTCAGAAATGTTACGATGCACAAAAACGAGCATAAAAAAAACTTAATGATAGCAATTAGCAAAACTAACGATACCTTGGGAATTGCCACTATGTCATCCTCAGTGATCATCTTCTCATCAGCCTCAGTATGACCCGAGCTATTAAATCCACATCTTCCCATGCCACATTGGACCATCTGAAAAATCAGATGAAGCATCAGAACCAAATCAGAAATGTTCATAACTTCATATATAGACAGCACTAGGGCTGAGCAGTTCAGTTCATGGCAAATCTCCACTAGCTACTTAGCTAGCACATGTAAGATGCATATATGCACTATAATTTTCAGATAACCTTTATGATTTCAGGATCTTTCCATGGCCCTTTGTCGGAGCGCATGCAGCCGCCTTCGCAGGTGCAAGTGCCACCAAGGAACTCAGGCAATTCGCTGTCTCGAAATAACAGGGAGTGAGCTCAACACGCTGCTCAATCTTGTTCTTTTTAATAATGATATTAGCAGATTTAATATAAATATTCAAGGTGATTCCATTTGCATTTGCATAGAAGCAGGAACGAACAACTCTAGAAGGTTCATGCTCAGACCTGGGATCAATCACTTCCAGCAGCTTGCTCTGGTACTTGTTGCCTAGGACCTGGTTAAAACAGGGCACATAAATGCAAACATTATGTAATGTTTAGTTGCAAATTGATCAAATGTAGCTTAATTACGAATGATCGATGTGACATTGACATCGAAAAGATTGTGGATGGATTGGATTACATGGATCTTGGCTGTGGTCTTGGGATCGAGGAAGGACTTGACGGTGTTCCAGAGAAGCCTGAATCCTTGACCGGCGTTGATGATGAACATCCGGCACAGAGTCTGCATCAATACAGACAGCAACAGATCAACGAGTGAACGAACATTTGGAATCATAAACATCGATGAACAAACCAAAATGTCCACATTTAGATTCATTCAGACATCAATTAACCGATCAAAGAGCACACATTCGGATTAAAAATACATCAATAACCAATCAAAGAACAAACGTTCGGATTAAAAAAAACATCAGTTAACCAAATCTAATACTGAACATTCAGATATTCAGGCACCAATTAACCAATCAAAGACTGAACATATTCAGACCAATTAAAATCAAATGTGGTCATTCAGATTCAGATACTACCAATTAAAAACAACCAAAGAGTGAACATTCAGATTCAGAGAGAGCCAATTTCTGCTAGCTACCTCTGGGTAGTTGTCACCATCGACCTTCTGGAGGCGGCCGATGAGATCCCTGGCGGCCTTGTTGAAGTTCTTGTACCCCTATATCAACCAATCACAATTAATATTAATGGATGTGAAGAAGGGGAAAGTGAAATCATCACTCAATGAGATATCTACTTGTTTCGTGCATGTTAGTCATAAGTTAGATTAATATGAAATAAATTACCTCACAAACATGCAAGTCAAAATTCAACTTCTACAAATTGTAACAAAAATAACAAATATATACGCGAATGCACGATAACTATTTTCACTTTAATTTGTTCTTTTTGTTGCAACTTGTAGAAGTCGAATTTGATCTTGCATGTTTGTGAAGTGATATATTTCATATTAATCTATGTTATTATTTTTTTTCAAACTTTTTGATAACTATTTAGATGTTATGTAAATAACAAGATGATATCCCCTCGAGGGATGAAAATCCACGTCCAAGAAGAAGGCAAGAAGAAGAAGAAAGAAGAGGAGGAGGAGGAGGAGGAGGAGGCATACAACGCCGGAGACGTCGAGGATGGTGGTGCTCTGGTCGACATGGCGCTTGGCGGCGATGGAGCAGGCGGGGAACTTGACGGCGAAGGCGCGCTCGAACTCGCGGACATGGTACTTGACGTAGCGGTCCATGCTGGTGACCTGGAGGAGCTTGGCGGTGTCGATCGCGCCGAGCTTCTCGATGTAGACGGGGCGGCCGTCGCGGTCGACGCCATGGTGGCCCTGCGGGTAGTGCTCGAGCACCTGGTCCATCTCCTCGAACTGGAAGTCGTCGAGGATGGTGTCAGATCCGAACTCCTTGCGCCATTGCAGCATGTCGCTCCACATCTGCTTGCTCTTGTCGATGTCGAACTTGCGGGCGCGGAGGAAGCGGAGCATCATGTGGTAGTCGTCGTGGCGCGCCGGGAGGAGCTCCTCCAGCACCAGCGTCTGCCGGAACGCGTCCACCGACTTCATCTCCTCCGCGTCGCGCACGTCCTCGATCGACACCGACATCACCTTGCTGCTCCGCTGCCGCGCCGCCGCCCCCTTGCTGCTCCTGCTCAGCGACGTCCGGAGCAGCTTCGACGACGCGCTCATCGCGCGCTGCCGCAGCGACGACGACGACGACGACAGCGCCCGCGCCCGCCGCTCGTCCTCGCCGCCACCTCCCTCTGCCGCCGCCGCCGCGGCCGCTGCGCCGGCGGATGAGGAGTTCATGCTCGGCGTCGGCATCACGGCGGCTGACGACATCGCCGCTCGCCGCTCGCCTTATTAATAATCAATTTCCTAAATTATTCGCCGCGCCGAGCCCGAGGGCCTCCTGCATCCAAAATTCCAAACAAACACACAAAAATCAAAACCTCCTCAGCAATGGCTCGCCGCGAGATCAAATCATCTCGTCGATGCGTACCTCGGATTGGACGAGCGGCCTTGGGAGGTGGAGCCAGGAGGGGGAAGGGGATGGAGGAGGAAGAAGAAGCGAGGGCGATGGCGATGGCATGCCAGAGTTGGTTGCTGCATGCATGGGCATGGGCATGGCCATGGCTGGGCTCTGAATCTGCATAGCTGACGTCATCTCCCCCACTATTTCCGCCACAATAGTAGCTGCACCGCTATTCCTTCTCCTCCATGTTACTAACCCAGCAGCAACCCTCTCTTAACTTTAAACTACTCTTACTCTCTTTTCTAATGCAATTATGCATTTATATGCGCATGCTAATGCCATTTTTTCAATAATGAAAATCAGCAACCATGTCTCTTTAACTTTTTGAAAGTGTTAACTACTCTTCCTCTCTTCTCTAATGCAATTATGCATTTATATGCGCATGCTAGTGCCATATTTTTTTAAAAAAATAATGAAAATCATCCCGGCTTTGCTTCATTTTTTTTTGAGAATTACACAGTAAAACGCAGACGCTCACAACGCACGCATACTCACCCATATGAACGCACGCACGCATACTCAACCATATGAACGCACGCACGCAAACCCTACCTTCTATGAGCATCTTTGAAGATTGGGCCGGCAAATACTTGAGAGATCGACGAAGTCACCACAGGCGCCTCGCTGTCGACGGGTACGTCGCCTACCACTGAAAGCACAACGACGTTAAATCCCGTCTTTGCTTCATTGAAGCTACAAACAATTATTATAAAGTTTTTATAGGTCGAAAGACCGTGAATTAAAAATTATAGCTCGATGGATATAACACTAGAACTACAGGACGGTTTTTGATTGATTTTTTGCAACTTATACATGATTAGGAATATGATTTTTGCAGACTTTGTGTGCTCCCTCCATGAGTCATGATTTATTCTGGAGATTTTTAAGATGTTCAAGACATGTCATCATGGTAATTGAAACTGAAATTCAATCCAGTTTTGTTATGTTAATGTATCAGTTGGCGATGTTTTGATAATGCCCCGGTGTCTGGTGAACGGTGACCAACATTTGGTAAAACTCGTCCATACAGGGCAGATGAAATAGAGGCCAAATGTGCGATGGCCGAACATACACGGGCAACTTTGAGCTGAAGGCAAGCAAGATACAAGGAATTATTACATCTTTTGATCTAGCAATTGACAGAAGACTGCAGCCGGCTGAAATAGCAACCAACGTCACATGGATCAAACGGCTGAAGTACAGATTCACAAACAATTTTACAGCTCATCAGCATGTAAACTTGGATCAAAGCCCAGGATTTCTGCAAGGCAGCACATAAAAATTCAACTCCGCAGTACAGCTAGGCTAGACAATAAATTCCCATTGGTAGTAAGCGGTAGGTTATAATGTATACAAGAATAAATAGCGATGTTACAACCACGTCGCCGATGCATGTACCACTGAATACATGTGCTATCCTAAACAGAACATAATGATAACACAATCTACCCATCAGCTGAAACTTACAAGTCCAAAGGCTAACTACATATTCACAACTAGTACAATTATCCAACCATGGAAATAGAACATCCAGGCAAAGCCAGATTTCAGCCTGCTTCCACTACCTCTACGTTAGCATCTGCCTGCAGCACACCACTGGCAAAAGCGCATTTAGTCTCAGCTAGCGTTGTGTGTCTGGTCATGCTCAATGAAGTCCAGAGCTTGCTCCTTTGACACCACATTGATGTAGCTAACCCTGTTCTTGTGCGTCACACCATAGATCTTATCAGCAACTTTTGCAATTTCTGGTCGGAATGTCGTTGCTATAAACTGAGTGTCAGCCATGTCAGCTAGACGGCGGATCATATCTGGAGCATTAGCTTAAGGAAAAACACATGCAAAAGCTTGTAGCATTCCAAAGATGATAACAAACAGATGGACATTATTTGATAGCACGCAAGAAAACGAGAGGGAGGGAACTCAGAAGAAATATAAAGGATACTGCCGACAGCTGTTCTGTACTGTGGATCCAGAGCAGCATCGATCTCATCAAACAGATAGAATGGGGCTGGATCACAACGCTGAATGGCAAAAATCAGTGTCAATGCCACCACTGTCTTCTGTCCACCAGACAACTGTTTCATAGACTGTGTTTCTCCCTTGCCAGTAAAGGAAACCTGAAACGTGAGTGTACCGCTTTTAGAAGCTTCGACAAAGATTATGCATAATATCAAGATCGGTATAATCCAAAATGAGTATAACAACTTAGTATCATTATTTATCATCGTCCGATTTTTCAAAGATCTATTGACATTTGCTCAATGAACAGTATATATGCACAAATACATAAAAAGCATATGCAAAAAGAGCATACCTTGACTTTTACACCAATGTACTTCTCAATTCTCCCTTCAGGATCTGGTTCACGAGGCCCATCCTCATCATTATCATCATCATCTGCATCACCATCCTATCAGGGAGGAAAGCATAAGCATTAATTTTCAGAAGAGATCTTACCTTCGAGACATCAATACATGGAAGGAAAATTCAGATAACTCCAGGCATATACATAGGTCATAAAATCGAAGTTCAAAATTCAAAAATGTGTCATCTTGAATTGGAAATCAAACTTAACATCATCTTTGCATTGAAGAATAGCCCAGGTATACAAAACAAAAGATACGATCTAATGCCAATTCATGGAAAGCAACATAGGTAACAGTAATAACTAATAGCAGCCTGTAGTCCCCAGCAAATTGGAGTACACTAGACATGAAACCCAATTCAACCAAGGTGATAGGCCAGCGTAGGAGAATTACAATTTTACCACAACCAAAGAGTACATACACACTGAATACCAGGGCTAAAAGGCAAAAAGTGTGTGCCATGGAAGCAAGGTCGGTAGGTAAAGCAAGGAAAATATTACCTTTTTCCTCATCATAACCAAATGTCCATGGCCACCTTGCACTAGTTCAGAGAACACTTCACGGAAGTGCCTTGCAACACCTTTAAATGTACGTTCGATTGATTCGTCCTTCCTTTGGTCTAAAACTGATATTAGTTCTCTGATTTTCTGCAATGTTATTCAGCAGGTTTTATGAGATTCTACTCATAGGATACAAGCGAAACTAAAGGCTTTTAACCAATGGAAAATTTCACCTGATCACCAGCATCAAGTTCAGCCCGTCTTCTCTGTAGTTGTTCACGTTGTTCGGTGAAGTTAACATACTGGTCAAGAGCTTTTTTGTTGACATGACTGAACTGCTGCAATTGCTCATTGCAGTCATAAAGCATCTTCTGCAGCTGCTTCTTATTTTTCCGCTTGTACCTATAGCATTGGCCAGACAAATAAGTTAAAATGGTATTACAGCGCCACAAAATTAATCTGCAGAATACCGCTAAACAAAAGGTATGCATTCTGGCCAATTCAGCCAGTTTTACATGGAAACAAAACCAGGTAGCCATAAAATACAGTACGTTTCAAAAGCATCTGCAGGCAATGAGCCCAAGTCTCGGATCTTCTTCATACACTCCTCTTGCTTAGCTAAATGCATGCTCCTGCTGCTCATGAGCTGTTCCAAATCCTTGGCACCATCTTGTACGGTCTGCTCCAGGTTAGCTTCTAGTGCCTGTGTTTAAAGATAAGCCATTACATAAGAAGTCAACAACAAATAGGGAGTTCTTACAAATAGTTCATAGCTATGTTCAACTTACCTTCAGATCATCTCTCTGTCTTTTCAGTTCCTCCATCTTCCTTGTGAAGTTATTAATAGCATCGACATTAGCTATCCAAAAGATCATTTAGGTTAGACTTGCTTCACTGCTTAAGAAGCATAAGCATATGCAGAAAGAAAATAAAAGTCTATCAATGTGTCTATACCCTTCAACATTGCAGTCAATTCATCAAGACTCCTCTTCGAACTTTTTAGTTCTTGCTCTTTCGATTCAGCTTCAAGAGGCAAGGTCTTAGAGTCTGCAGATGAAATTATTGCTTCAAGCTCTTTCTGGCGCCTCATAAGATTAGTTGATAGATTGGTTTCCAGTTCTTCTTTCCTTGTTTCAATCTACATAATAATTTATAGCTGCATTAGAGTTTGCAGAAAGAATCGCCCGAAACAGAAGCATGATACAAAATTTGCTGGAACAACCTCGATGCGACTGTTTTTACATAAGAGAAACTTCTCCTTTAGTTCAGTAATTTCAGGGTTCAATCGTGAAAGAAGATCTCGTTCTTCTGAAGTTAACTGATCAATAAGTTCAGTGCCCATTTCATCATTTTTCATTGCAATGCCAGATTGGATTTGCTCAATTTGGTTCCGGATGTTGTCAAGTGATTTTTCCTGCAAGATAGAAACTATCAGATAGAGTTGCAGGACTATAGCAACATAGGCATTTGATACACAGCTAATGACTTTCATATTAAATATCAAGATAGTGAATCTCCCATGAACTGCAGTAAAAGAAAAGGAGAACCAAGTACCTTCTTTCCAAGTGCCTTGTCAAGTGATACCATTTGCTTCATAGCGCTAGCGATGTCAACCTTAAATTGTTCCAACTCTGATTTGGCATGGTCACGCTCAGCATCCATTTGCTGCTGTTTGGTAACTAAATCTGTAATTTTCTTATCTATATGTATGGAAAGTTAAGGAAAAAAATTGAAGGACATATAAAATTCATCTGGCATAAATAGTAAACAGCAACTCAGCAAGAGCCTTGAGATGCCAAATACATATATTCAAACTACTTTGGAACTTGGAGCCAAACAAAACAAACAAACACAAAGGAAGCCATGAACTTTGATAAAATTGAGAATGGGAGATTTGCCATCTTGTTTCACAAACATGTGACTCCTTGTTGCACATGTCATAGCCACATCAATGGCAAATCCTTGTTGCCAACTATTGACAGTGACTAATCCCTAAATCTGCTAGTTGATAGGCCCAATATGTTGAAGAACCAGTAGCATTCCTACCATTTTGGAAGAGGTTACATGCACGAATGCTAGATCACTACATAAGATTCTACAAGTATCAAATCTACATGATGTGCATGCTTATCTCTAACAATTAGAAGAGTGGCAGAATGAGCTACGGTGCAAGCAGGAAATATTGAATTTAATAGAAAACCATAAACTCCTTATCCATCAGGTCTTTAGTAAGCAGGACAAGAAGTATA